CTGTTTGAACAAGTGTATTGATTGGGTCTGACCCCTTTACATTTTTTTTTTTCCATTATTTGAAAAGGTGCATCTAACTGTGGCTGAATTGAACCAACGGAGATGAACTTTCCATGAAAACTTCTTGAGATATTTCTTTAGTTCAAAGCTTTGGAATTTTAAAGAGCATTTTTAATACAAGCCTGTCGAGGTATTCTGTGCAACAACCATACTTTGAATGTAAAACTACAGGTATACCGAAGGGGAAGGTAAAATTACAAAGCTTACTGTGATATTACGGGGAGGTGACAGAATAACTCGGAGTGCTAATTATAAAAGAAAATAAAACCAGAAGGCATTGCATATGCACACAGTTGTGCCCTGCTTACCTGTTATTTACTTGTAAGTGTTCCCGGTTGCTTTACAGAGTGTAAAACAGCCTGCAGACAAAACATTATGAATTAGCTTTTTTTTGTTTTGTTTTGTTTTGTTTTTCAGCCAGCAATTATTGATGAAACTGTTATAAGATGTAAGCTTAAAGAATTATGTGATTTTTTTTTTCCTCTTCCCACTAAAAGAAACCTTTTACCAGGAGCTAAGCATAAGAAAGCACTGAAGGATGAAAGAAATTAAGAAAACAAGGGTGAATAGTGAGTTGTAGGAAATAATGGCAGAGACACGTCTGCAAACAAGACTAAGAGGTGAGAGAGGGGAACAGCCTGGTGGTTTGGAGGGAGATACCTGGAAAAAGCTTGAAGGAGCTGCAATACATTGGCTGTTGCAAGGTGTGGTGCTGCGGTAGTCTCAGGCTGGGCATGTTTTCATCTCCAGAGCCAGAATGGAGAAAAGCCTTCATGTTGTTTCCTGGTTCATCTCTTGATACACGAGAGGCTTTTTGGAAGCGCTGGCTGATGGGTTATGCAAGATGCAACCCGGGTGGAGCGAAGCAGTTGGCTTTTTAGTTGCACTGAGCTGTACTGTGCTGGGGGGAAAGCTAGCTGACTGCAGAAACACCACTTCAAATTCTGTGTGTCTCCTTGTATTGTCTCTGTTTTTGGGTTTTCTGGCCACTCGTTCATGCTGAGCAGTTCGTCGGTGTCCTTGCTCTGCTTCTTCCACACAGGGCCTTTGAGGATCTTCTTCTCCCCCCCCCACCACGGAGCAGGGTTTTGTCTTCTGCCCCGCAGAGGTTTGCGGTGGCTTTGTGCACGTGTCCGCGTGGTGCTCCCATTTCTCTTTTTTTTTACTTGGGCTTTGCGTAGTGTGGCTTCTTCAGTTCACTACTGAGTAAATTGGGTCTTTTTTTCTTTTCTCTATCACGTATTGACTTCTTATGTTAAGATTGTCACTTTTTTAACAAAAAAAATCCTCTTTGGAAAGAGAGGTGCTGATGGCATCCTTACAAACAGTTCACAATCACTAGATTTTAGTGGCTGAGAAGAAGGGGACTTGGCCCCAAACATTTGAGGATCAAAGCTTCACCTGCATTTGGTGCAATTCATTTAGCAATAAATCCGTGGGTGAACAGAAACCGGTTCAGATTGTCTAACTTTTTCTCTGCAGTCTTGAATATGGCTTGGTACACCTGTGATGAGCACACGTCCTTCAGTGGTTTAAGAGAATTTCCCTGTAGGTCAAGGTGGACAGTAGTGTAAAAGCTCAAAGTGAGGAAGTTGTTTTTATATGAGCTCTTGTATTGCTTGACTGATGATATAAAAAAAAACCTCTCTTCTATTACATGTTAGTTTCCATTCTTCTGGTCGTTTGTTTTTTTTTCTTCTTTTTTTTTTTTTTTTCTCTGTACTAGATCTTCCTGGGCTATGGACACCATAAATGGTACTGGATTTAGACAGATAATAGCACAAATTGTTGGTGCGATCTCATTCTGCACCTGCACTTCAAACCCATGTCAAATGAGATTAAATCACTGAGCACTTTGCTTCTTTAATGCTGTGCAAAAAGTGAGGAAACTTTTATTTCTCCATCATGATACTGAACACCTGTGTACTACTCAGATATTTTGCTCAGGAAAAAGTGTACTTGAGGTGACAGTCTTAAAAAACAAAGCCAACTTCCACTTGTCCCTTCAGTGAGGGTACCTTGACACATGTCCCTTCTCTTAATCCCCTGACAGTTTCCAAGAGACCGATGGAAATAACTGTGCCAGGCTTTGATTATGAGGTATCGCACTGCCACTTATTCTCTTTGTCTCCTGCAGTTTACAGAGGCAGCTTCAGTGCATAATTTAATCCCTGTTCGGGGGACTGTAGTAAATCCACAGAGATTTCTGCCAGCCGTCCTCTCTGACATCAGAACAACATGTGCACATCATCTTTGATGTGAATTCCCCAACCAGCGCCTCAGAAGGACCTATAGCTTTGAAGCTGGCCTATAAATTGTGCTTTCAGGAATCAAGTTGTCAGCCTCCTCTTCGGGAAAAAAAGGAGAGTAAACTGTAAAGCAGCTGCATAAAGCTACAGGGCACCTTACAGATCAGGTTTTCTTGGCCTTGAAGAATCCCTGTAAGTTGGTGAGAAGACAGAGCCCTTTCTACTTGGCTCAGAAGCATCCTGGTTTGTGAGTGCAGGGCCTTGCGGGCAGCGGGGCTGTGACGGTGCTCATCGTGAGGGGCTCCCTGCTGCAGGGCAGGTGGAGGGGGAACGGGAACGGGCACACGGCTTCTTCCCAGCTGCTCAGGTGTTCTCGGTCCTCAAGAGCCAGATGCTGGGCCTGCACCTGCATTAACCTTCGTGTCAGTGTGGGTTAGAGACTGCACCAGCTGTGGTGGTCGCTCTGTGGCAGATCTTCCTTCAGTTGTTTCCAAAGGCCTCTACCAGTATGGGCAGACTTCTGCCTTTCTACTGAGATAGTCTTGGAGTTGAGGAATTTCAGTGGCCAAATCTTGTCTGAAAAGACAAATGCGGTTGGCCTCTTTGATTCGGGATCTGTGTGCGTGTTCTGCTGTCATCTTTGGGAGCAATTCCCACCTCAGCCTGAAAAGGCAGAGAACTAACTACAGAAGCAGCCAAAACACAACCTCGATTTTCATCTCAGTTCCCTCTCTGCTGGGAGCTGAAAGTGTTCTGCTGCTCTAAGTCTCTCATCCTGGTGCTTTTATACCAAATATTGCTAAATCTGACTGTTGAGATAAAAATTGCAGTATTTACACCAAACGAAATCATCTTTTCTCAGCATGTAAGGAATCGCTTAGAGGTGCTGATTCGCAGATGCAAGTGCAGGTGCTGACATAACGTGTGTCACCCAGCAATGGGTACGGTTGTGTTCTGAGCAGGTTCGTCTTGGCTCAGCATTAGAAACGCGTTGCCCCAAACCGCATCAGATGTTCGCTGTATTACTGGCTGTGTGCTTCAGGAATGGAGGCTACGCTGTGCTGGCTCTTCCTGGCAACAGCTTTTATCAGAAATGCTTAATTTTGGCTTACTTTTTATTCTTTGGTGATCTATTCATTTGTATTTGGGACCGATGCCTAAATCTTAGTATGGCCTTCCTTCAAGGCTAGTGGGAAAGCAGCAGGGCCTGCAGGGGTGGATTCCCTCACTTCCCGAGTCCCTGTCTAAATGCATGGTGGTGTTAAGGCACAAGATCCCTGTGGATGCTGAGCAGCTGCAGAAGAAAAGGTTGCAGCCTGCCCTTTAATTTTGTGATTGCACTCCACGTGAGGCAATAAATAGTAGGTAGCAGCCAAATCTAAAAGAATTTAGAAGTGAAATGTTGGTTTAAATGTAGCCAGGGCGTCCAAATAGGAGGAAACTGATCTCAGGCTGATAAGGAGAGTTAATCAATCAGCTCGACTGGAGGATGGAGGGGAGAGCGTGACCTAGGCAGAGACGGCCTCACTGGTCTGGTTTCTGTCTTGAGGATCTCACAGAAATGGGACACGTCTGGGCTGGCACTTTTGATACAGCCTCTTCTGCGATGAGGTTGCTCAGTGAAAAAAATCCAAAATTGAGAAAAAAATCCCAAAGATATGGTAACAACATGGGTGTTCCTACACTTGTATTCCCTAGCATCTTTCTCCAATTTCTTATCTCTGTTAATTTAGGCCTTGGCCAAAGTTGCATCTTGATGAAGATATGAAAGGCTTCTATGAAAATAGGTTGTCTGCAAAGTTGTCTATATAGTGGGAGTTCAAAGCCTGCATTCAAATAGAAATAACAGTTCTTCAACTTGTCTGCTTGTCTTAGGCACTGTTAAGTGTCTTAGACATTAGCTGCTCCATCATTAGGAAAATTAAGTCATGGAGAGGTCTTCTTAACCGTGTACAAGCAACTTTAATTTCTGTCTACATATTAGAATCTTGGAATAGTGGGAAAACAAAAAGAATCCATACAAGTCAAGTACAAATCTCTGAACTTGAGTGGCTGCTGCTCAGAATTGTTCTTAAAAGTTAATGACTTAAAAAATTGGGATTAAGCACAACTATAGTGAAATAGCTACCTTAAACTTTTTATTTACAGTCGTATTGCTTTTATCTTTTCCATAATGTATCTTAGTCCAAGTCCTCCCCCAACAATTGATGCTGCACTGTTTATGTTTTATTCAGTAACCCTATATGATAGCACGTACTGTTGCTTTCGTGTAAGCCATGTGGCTTGCAAATTTTATCTGCATGTAATAAATAGCATACAGAAAATTCCCCACAAGCATCTGGAGTGTTTCTTAAAACACTATTGTAAAAGAATGAAGCTGCGCTACACATACGGGTGTGCTGTTCTGTTCTCCCAGCAAAGAGGCAGTTCGTTCATTCATGAGGAAATTAAGTTCTGTTATTTTACTGATAACCTTAGTATGATAAGCTATACATTTGCAAAGGAACGGCTACACTTAATTCTTGTTGGAAGGAGTTACCAGAAGTCCTGACTCTTTATGCACATCAGCTTAACTTGCAAGGTACAACCTTTTTGTGGTAATTTACATAGACATCCAAACGATGTGTGTATGGCAAGGGAAGGAAGAAAGGCTCGCATGAAACTCTGTACTCTATATATTAAAGAGCTAAATGATTTTCATATTCTTTTTATTATTAAATTATATTTTCTCTTCCAAAGTAAAGTGATTTCTTCAGGCGGTGTTATTAAAAATAACAGCTTAGTGTTATAACCAGGTGCCAATCATTCAAAATCTTTTTTTTTTTCTAGTGAAAGTTATAAAGGACTACAAATTACCCTCCCTGCAGTTTATTTTCCCCATCCTTATTATAAACTGAAAAAAAGAAGCAACCCATCTCCTCTTGTATAAAGGATTTCAAACCATCTTTTCCCAACAGCTGTTGTAGGACTTCAGATGGATAGTGATTAATGCTGCTACAAAAGTGAGCGATTTCTGTTCTTAGCCCTGTCAACACTAGCATCTCTAGACAAAATCATTGTTTAAAGCTCTAGCACATCACAAAACAGTGCTGATATTGGTATTTTACAACTACTGCAACATCCAATAATTCACATGTAATCTTATAGTTAAAAATTCAAGACTAGGGTGCTAACTGAAGAAGCCACTAAGAGGAATTTTCCTTTTCTGGCATGAAATAAAGGGAAGGGTAGTTTAGATAACATATAGTACAGATTGGGCAGGAACAAAAAGAATTTATTTCTTCATCCAGTATTTTATACACTTTACAAAAACCAGGATTCTCACTGTGCCCATAAAAACATTATCCATGGCAACTGAAAGCAACTACTACTTTTGTCATCTAACAGGGTCTTTTTAAAATCATAATACAAAGATTTGTGCTGTAGCAGTCCTCCACTTCGCACTGTAACAATAAGGCTTACTGTACTTTAAATACGAAGCTGTTACATCTGCAGTTATGAACCACTAGCTTTAACAAACATCATCTTATAATTGCTTTTTGCTTCTTTTTTGTTTTCTGGAACCTCAGCTTCATCATGCTTCTCAGCAGCTTGCAGCTCCTCTGCAGACTCGTCTTGCTCTGACTCAGAGCCACTTTCGGAGTCGTCTGAACTCTCGTGTTCAGAGGAGTGTCCAGCTGCCTCTTCTTCACCCTCCTGAAACTAGAAGTTCAGATTATGAGACAGAGAAACCCTAATTTCCTGGCAACTCCATCGCGGCTCTTAGATGTGCCCAGTGAGAACGTTGTGCTAAATGGCTCCTTTCCTATCAGTTCTGAAGCGGGCTAGCTTGCTACCCACAGGTCTTTGATATACAAATTATTAGACAGAAAGGAACCCCACAGGACTGCTTAACAGGACTGACTGCAATAGCCAAAGATTCTTCGGCCACTTTCCTATTTAGTTACAGCAGAAACCCTAAAGACTGCATTAAATGAGCTTGAAAAGTTTCAGTTTCCATCGCTTCAGTGATTCTTTACTTTTGTGCATAGGGTACACGACACTTAAATGCTTGTCAGGGAATGAGACATGCTGACACTAACTGATAGATCATCAAGACTTCTGATGATTAGTCATGACTGATCTTTGAAAATAAATTTAGCACAGCATTACAAAGCAGCGTTAGGAGTGCTGAAGTAATCCAATGCTACTGCTAAAAGGAATGATCCAAAAGTTGAATTTTGTTCATGCACCTAAGGAGCAATGCCTCCATGTTTGAATATTAAGAACTCGAAGCATGAGTTGTTTTACTCTCTCTGGAAACATTATCCATGTTTTCATGCCATAATAGGTGCCAACAGGAGGGGAAAAAAAAAAAAAAAAAAGACATGTCAACTGGCAAATAAGGACAGCTTCCTAATAACCCAATGTGCTTGTTCTTTTTTTTTTTGGTCACATTCCTCTTTCTGCTCATCCCTATGCAATCGCTTGCAAGTACAAGACCAGGTGGGTGTCACCCCACGGAAGGCCACGTTTCCCTCATCTGACCCCTCTATTTCTGCTTAGTTTTCAGGGCCATGGGGAGGCATGCACCTCACAGCAGCAAGAAGCCAAAATAGATTAATTAGCTCTCTGTGACAATGCAGATGGTTACACACACTCCCTCCTTTTGTGTGTTCCATGACAACACTCATTTGATGTATTTGCAACTTTGTCCTAATCGGTCTTGCCTACTATGGAGTACGTCATAGCACTGCTCAGAACAATGGAAAGCATCCATCATTTCCAGGCACCTACACGGCTGCAACAGCGCACACAAATAAGGGTCAAGTGACTCCAGCCAGTTTCTCGTTTAACCCAAACTGTGCAAGTTCAGCACCGTGCACGGTTATCAGGTTTTTAACCCATGGCTCATCTTGTCTTACTGAAGCGACAGCTAAATCATTAGAGAAATAATTAAACTTACTACCTCACTGAAACCAAGTCCACAATGGCGCCGGTTTCGTCCAGACATGGTGCTGTCCATGCTCTGTTGGTACTGCGACTCCAGTTCTTCATTCATTTTCTTGTCTTCTTCCCCTGCATGTCCAGTGTACTTTGGTTATGGTTCATTCAAATTAACAAAGACATCAAATTACACAAAGTCACCAGGTTTTTCAAAGCTTATCACAATATAGGTGAAAAAGTTTAAATTTAGCCACCTTCCTTAGAAACTACCAGATTACTGTACAAAAATGTATTAGTTACAAACTGCATTAGCAATTAGAACAATACTACCACGCTTGTTTATCGAGCTGCATCTGAAATTATTTCATGCAGCCTGAATTATCAGGAGCAGTTACTTTTTACTCTTGCCCACCTTTAGGAATTAGCAGGAAAACTGATCTAATTAACAGAACATGAGCTACTACTTCTACACGCCCTTTACTACCATTTGCTTGTGTAAGTAAATCAAGGAGCACTTCTACTGGGGGGAAAAATATGATCCGAAATAGTTGAGTATCCTCTGTTCTTGTGAAAAGTTGAAACCTCTAAATCTTCCCCCCAAAAAGGCCTACAACACTAGTTTTTAACCTGTATCACTGTAAACCACGGATGTATTACAAACTTTTCCTTGTTTAGAAGGTAGAGTCATCTGTTACTCTACAAGGAGGAAAACCTTATGTTGGAAAAGGAAGTAAAGTGTTAAGAAAATAGCTGCCGTGATTTTTTTTTTGTGAAAAAGCAGCACTTCTTGCTAATAACAGTGCAGTTCTGAGTATTTATGATTCCTTAAGAAGCAGCATCCTAGGAAATTCAGGTCCCAGGAGGTGATTCACAGTCGCTCTGCAGGCTAATAGCAGAGCCTGGAAACAATCCCCAGGCTTCCTTTGGTGTTTTGGCCTGCACATCGCTTTTCATCAACTGAAGAATGACTTGTGGGGCGTATCAGGTACCAGTAAGCTTTCTGAACCTCTCGACAGTTGCTCTTCTATACAGTTTTATTACAGCTTCTGTCAGACATTCCAGCCCAGCTTCGTTTCGGTGTACTTTGAGCGAGTCTGATAAGGAGCTGTATGTTATATAACATCAAGTCAGTGCTAATTCCAAGATGACCTTGCATATCTTCCCTTCTTCTATTTTGTGCTTTAAGGCAGAGATATTTCCATTCGGTAGGTAATCAGGTTGGAGGAGAAATCAACCCTGTTTTTCTGTTGTTCTCTCCCCCCCCAACACACGCACTGCGTTAGAGGTGTGGATATCCACACCTGGCAGCACGGAAGCAGCGTAATGCTGCTGTGTACTAAAAGTAGGAATATTTCACTTTCTTATTGTGATAAGAAACTACGACACGGACCTGTAGAGCCTGGCTTACACGCGTTTCCCTGACCACCAGGTCCTTTATTGACCCTGGCCTTCAGAAGGCCAGAAAAGCCGAGGAATCCCCAACTGTGCAGCCGGCTCTGCCCTCACCCCCAGCCCCAAACCTGCCCCTGCGGCACTGACCTGTCCTGAAGTGCGACGTGGAGCGGTGGTCCCCGATGACGAGGCGCCCGGTGTGCTCCTTCTGCGGACAGACAGCGCGGGGGGGCTGGGGGCGCTGCCAGGCACCGCCAGCCCTGCCCACACCCCGCCGATCTCGTCAGTATTTTTTATTATTTTTTATTTATTTTTTGCCGGCCTCACCTTGGCGGCGCCCATCAGCCGCAGGAACTTCTGCTTGCGCTCCTCGTTGCCCAGGTCGGCCGCCTCCCAGCTGCTGGAGCCCTGCGGGGGGGAGCACACGCTGGTTGCGCCCACCCCAGCCCAACCCCATCCCGCTCCCGCTCCCCGCTCCCGACTCCCGCTCCCCGTTACATCGGGCGAGGCCGCTCGCTTGAGGCCGTGCTGAGGCTGCGAGTCCCGCGCCGAGCTCATGGCCGCGGCCGCCACCGCCGCCTTCCTGAGGGAGCCGCTCCGCACCCACCGCGCCGGGTCGCGGCCGCGCGGGGGGAGCTGGGAGATGGAGTTCTCCCCGCTGCCCGCGCAGCGCGGAGCCTGACAGGGAGGACTACAACTCCCAGAAGCCTCCGCGGCGGCGGGGACGGCCCCGCGCGCTGATTGGCGGAGGGGATGCGAGGCGGGACGGTGGTGCCCGGCTCTGAGGCGCGGCGCCCCGCCCCCCGCTCTGGGACCGCCTCAGGCGCCGCCTCAGCGCCTCAGCCCGCTGTTGAACGCCCCCCTCGGCTTTAATACCCAGATGGCTCGCCCAGAGCTGTGGCAGAGCAGCCAGAGAGTTGGGTTACAGCTTCTCGACACGGAGCTGAAACAAACCGCCCCGGCTGAGAGCAGCCGTGAATGTGCTCAGCCCCGCTGTAGCCTCCCTCACGCCCGGTGCAAAACGAGTGCTTGCGATTTTCCTGTGCAGCGTCTTGTTTCAGTAGGTTCAGCCACAAACTTTTCATCTACCCTCAAATACCCTCAAATGCGTACCCGTACCCTCAGATCTCCTCACACGCATGCAGCACAGGTGGTCGGGACGCGCCTCACACCCACCGCCCTGCTCAGCAGTTGGGGTGAGCCTGGACTTTTTTTTGACTTGCAGAGATCTGAGCTGTTTCATTGCATCTACTTGTCTTTAGCAGCTTGTTTTGGCTTGGTTTCTTCTATTCCCGAGTTGTGATTCACACTTTTATTGTTTTTCTTTGTCACTGCAACAGTGAAACATTTCAGGCTTGAGGCAGTAAGTCTGCCCCCTCACCCCTCTATCTACCTCTGTGCTAGATCAAGGAAATTTTGGGATTTTGAAGGTTAGAGACAAGGCAGGATGAAGTAGGCTATGACTGCAAACACCACGTGCAGTCACCTGCAGGGCAAAGGGATGTGGACCACACTGTAGAGACTGACTAAAGGTGAAGAGCCCGTAACACACGGTGTAAAGATGCTGACGGACAACTTATCTCATAAAGGGTGCTCAATTCCTTGCAAGTGGATGAAAAGTTCCTACAGAAGTCTATAGGGCTTCTACATTTAGGCTTCTGCTCTGAACTCTCTGTGAGAGGATTCTCTATGCTTAGACGATGACCTGCTCTCAGTTCAGATGGTCTTTATGAGTATCTTCTTTGCAGAGGAGGAAAAATAGAGGAGGTTAAAAACGTGTCGTTACAATGCACTGTTTGTCTCTCTGTTTGAGTATGGCATTTAAAATATTTGGTCGTTTTGATATTTTTTAACATCTTTCCTGAGCCTTGTTACTCAGATGTCACCCATCATTCCTTTGTAGGACTGAAGTACAGTGAAAGAAGAGTTGATAAGAACATATTCTGGAAGATGGAGCACAAAAACTCAGCAGATCTAGTAATGTAGAGACGTGCTGATAGAGCCCTGCCACTCCTGGGTAGGTAGATTTAGTTACAGATATTTGTAGATTGTCATTATTTTCAATTTTTTTTTTTTTTTAATCCAAAACAACACTAGGATAGTAATATTTAAATTAATGTTCACGTATATTGTACCACCTGAGTGTGCAAAATCAAACAGAAAGGCACAGCTGTTACGCCTGTTTTCTAAAACTTCCATAATTGTTGTTTGACAATGATAAAGAGCAGAAGGGAGCATTAATATGAGAGAATGTTGTATTTACAACTTTAACATCATTTTAATGTATCTCAGTATATAATTATATAATGACTGTAATTGTGGCTTAATTGAAATTCTGGTACTTTAATAAACAATTTCTCATGGAAGGGGTACAAAATATAAAAAATAACATCACTATCAGTAATTTTTTTTTGTAGTATCTAGCAGCATTTTTAGTCTGTTAATAGGAATTGTGATTATCTAATACTAGTGAAATTGTATCTTTTCCCTTATTTTTTTAGTTAAGTTTTTATTATGGTTTGTGTGCTTCTATGCTTAAAAGACCTATTCCTTAAGAAAAACAAGTGCAAAATTTGAACTTCATGGTTGTGGTTTCCTTACGGGACAAACGGAGAAGGATTGCCATTGGAAAAAAAGGTGCAAGAAAATCAGGCTTTGCTAAAGTTGAAATGAGTTTTTTTAATTGGGTCCAAGTTGTGGGTTACAGTTAACTTCAGGTTCTTTTCAGGATGACTGAAATATACGATTCTTTATATGGCTGCAATGGTTTGGTGTTTTGTTTACATTTTGAATAAGATGTGCTAATAACAGAACTAATAAGTAAGGGGATTTTAGAAATATTTGTCTTCCTTATCTTATTGCTCTTTTGGAATAAAAATGCTCTGGTTTTGCAGAAAAGTGTTACCTTAATTAAAAAAAAAAAAAAAAAAAAGACAAATATATCCCTAGTATTATATGGCGTACGTCTACATATGGGGGAACTTAAAATGGAGTGATCAGGCTGCTAGCAAAAATGTGAATTGTCTCAGTAGAAGACTGATTATGCAAAGGTTTCATTTATCTTTATGGAGATATTACAGATAATTCTAAGGATGTGTGAGTAAGGAGCTAGATTTAATTCCAGTAATAATAGAAAACAGTAAGAAAGGGCAGAGTTAAGAAAATCCTGTCATGCTAAAATCCAGTGTTGCATTTGCTGTAGTCTTTGAACAACTGAAAAATATAATCATTCACAGGATAACAAGACAGATTGGCTTTTAACAAGAAGCATGTCTTGAGTGTGTGTGAGACTGTTTTAGTATATAAACAAAACAATGGTAAGGATGCGGGGCAACATTTGTGTGAATTTTACACAGTTCTTTACATAGTCCCTCGGAAGAGACTATCTGGAAATTAGCGTTCCAGTCACCGGAGCTAAGGTTTTGCCGTGGAGTAGAAACTGGCTGTGATGCAGAAATCAGACTTGGATTAACTGTCTGTCCGTCTATATAGCTAAGGAACAGTAGGGAGGAGTGAAAAGGCTTCTGCTTAGAATGGTAAACAGAGAGAGGCAGATGATACAGCAAGAGTGTGACGGGGTGTAATGACCAGTAAGATGACAAAGTTATTCGCTGTTATGTACAGTTACCATCTCGGGCTTTTCTGTGTAACTCTGCTTTGGCGGTGAGCTCCAGTCTCTGGATGGGAACCATCTTTGGGGGTGGAGGGAAGCCAGCCCTATTACAGGGAAAAACCCACCTCAATGAAGATTTTCTGCACCAGTCCAATTCTAAGTGTTGAACCTCAGCAATAAAAACTTCCAGGCAGACAACAACTTAGGATAGCTAGGTATGGGAAAGCAGAAGCTTAACTAGGTCTGGCAGAAGTAGTTTTATCTTTGAAGAATCTGATGTAGAATCTTTGGAAAAAAAAAATAAATATATATATATATATTTGAGATGTCTGTGTCGAGGTAGGGTAGATTAAAGCACAGCTAGGTCTGACAGCCAGAAGGCTTTTTTCATTGTGTGATGTGATAAGGATGTCTTTGCCGTGCAGTCATTGACTGAGCTGCAGTAATGAGACAGGACAGACCTGGCTTGGTTGCAGAGCTGAATCTTCTCCTGTAATGGTCCTGGCTCTGCCCAAGAACAAGTGGCCTTTGGCATATCTCACCTTTCTGCTTTATCTACAAAATGCAGACAATATATCTCATTTCCAGCCTTTGGATTTAATTAATGGTTGCACAGTCTGTTCAAAGCAATGTGTAAGTGCTAAATATTAGCTACAGTGTAATTGGACTACTGTAATTTATAATGTGCTAACTGACTTTGGCATATAAAATAGGATCAACCTCTTCTCAAGTGCTGTAGAATTTTTAATTGTTACTAATGAACTTCTGATATTCAAAGTACCTATCACTGTGAGACAGGGAATGCTGCCAGGATTTGTCTGTAGGAAAGCTTAGCAAGGCAACCACTGATTTTTTTTAAGCTTGAAATAAAAAAAAAGTACATATCATATGTACACACACACGCCTACATTAAGTGCACAGTTTAAATTACATTCCCTTTTAACAGAAAGCTCTATTTCTTTTTAAATGGAAACAGGACATTGCCCTCGCGTTTCAAAAATGTTTCATCTCTTTCAGCATATATTAAGATTAAAATGCTTCTTGATTTCTAACCCGCTTTGCTTAGTAGTTGTCAGTGCAATATATAGAGGTTACCACAGAGAAGAGTGGAAAATATTCTGTATATCACTGGAGGTGGGGAAAGATTTTATTTTTGTTTTTTAATTGAAATCTGACTTACGCAACATACTTATTCAGTACGTTTTAGTGTCACGGTGTCTGCCAAAAATTCAATTCCAAGCTCTTGCTAAGTTTTGTTTTAAGGAGTTGGGAAGAAGGAGAGACAAGCTAAGAGCAAAAAAGAGACGTCAACAAAAGGATTGCTGAGAAGGGAGCATCAGTTGAGGGAAGGCAGTCATAGCTGTTAACATTTAAAAAGCCCTTTCAAGGCCTAACAAAATAAAGGATAGAGATGTCCTCATCCTGAAATGGCTTTTATATTTCTGAACCTGTTATAAAAGCTTTTCTTAGAACACTTCCTTTCTAAAAACAAAATAGTTTCTGTCGTAAACAAGACAGGCAGCACATCAATACAAAGACTATCTTCACTTACTTTTATTTCTACTCTAGCAGAGCAGGCCATTATTCAATACCACAGCAAAAAGAATTGTTGCCCCTGTTTAACAAATGACGAAAACAAAGAATGAAGAAATTATGTCCTTGAACCTAGCACTGTGCAGGCTTCCACTACTATTGTATGTATTAGGCTTTGTTCTCAGCACAAAGATTTAAAAATCCCCATTTTTAACATGATAAAAGGTAAGTTAGTCCAGCTTTCTCTGGGTACAGTCCTGGTGGAGACAGGACCCAGGTAGTTTTTATATCTGTGTAGCCAGTCAAGGCCAGGCATGTATCTCTTACTTGGAGTTGATTTGAACAAGCTACATCAAAATAAGAAAACATAGTGCTTTGCTTCCACTAAGATTTTACATCCTATTAGACTGACTGGGCTTCATTGTTTACCACTGTAAACAATGCATAGTGCTAGAATAATGTACCCAAGTAAAAAAAAATATATATATATTTTAATTGCAATGAAGATATAGCTTTATATATCTCACTTCTTTTTCTTCTTTTGTGCTTGCTAACACATAAAAGCACTAATAAAGACAAGGCATTTTGCAGAAAGCATCTGCCAAATTCAGTTATTCTGCTGTGAGTCTGAATGATGAGACAAAATCTTCAGCATTATCAAAATGAATTGTTTTTGTTTAGAGTGAAAACTCAGTAGTTCCTCCGTTTGGTGTATCTTTTGTTTCATCCATCTGTAGTAAAGCAGAATATTTCAAGGAGAATTGAAAAACCTCATGGGAATCTAACATTTCCATCTGTTTCTATTAGGGAATTTAAATTATTGGGTAATTTGAAAATGGCATGGACAAACCACTCCTTTACATACTTCAGTGAAAATTCTCTGGAAAAGGTTGAACAAAATCAACATTGTACTTTTTTGAGTCATGTAGCGCTGTGAAAGCCAAAGTCTCTGAAGTCAGTTGAAAGTTGTCTGCATACAGAATTTGTCTTTTCATATAATTATTCCTCTTCCTAATACCTTTGAATCTTTTACTGTATGGGCAAAGAGAAACTAGAAAGAAATGTAATTGGTAGGGGAGAAACCGTGGCTCTGCATGCTCTCCTTCCTCACCCTGTGTGACTGTAGTAGTTGCTCCTCCTTAGGGTCAGTAACACTTGTGGACGAGTCAGTAGAAAAGTACAAAAAATAACACCAGCTATCTTTATATGTAGAATTTTAATTCAATACAAAATGACTTGGAAAAGATTCTAAAGGTTTGAAAAAAGGGGTGCGTTAAAGCTCTGATATATTTGCATAGCTCCCGAGTCAGAGTCCTTTTTGAAAAGAAATGTTTCTGTTTGACTTTCATGCTCAGGGGAACACACAGGCTTTTCATATGCACCCAACGTCCAAATAAACTTTGAAGATTGACAATAATCTGCTTCTCCATGTTAGAGCTTTACCACAGTACTGTCTGTGGCCACTGCATCACTTTTTTTTTTTTTTTTCCTCCTGCAAAAGTCTTTTCATTAATTTGTGTCCCAATTGTGTTAGCTCCACATATGTGCTCATTCACTACCTCTCTTATTTACAGGAGCCTGTAAGTTGCATCAGGTTGATTGCAGCCGGTTTGTCTGTGTTTTGGTGACTTGTGCTACTTCACGTGTAGACAGCCTGTCTCCTTGGCAGCGCTGAGGTTTGCTACTGTAAGATTTTCACTGTACGAAAAGACATACAAATAGATAATTGCTCTTTCACTTTGTCCGTGTACTGGGCCCATGGATTATTAATTGGGTATCAGTCACAGCCTGTTGGTTTTGAGTGACTGTAATAAATACAAAAATAAAAGTGAAATTCATTACCCTCTTTTACCTGCTTAACACCAACATCTTATTTCTTCCATCAGGTCTTTAAAATTAATGTAGTGAACTTTTCAAGCTATACACAGTATTAATAAACTATAAACTATCTGTCAACTTTGCCAAGAACCTACTGTGCATTCTGCCTTACGCTGCAGCTGACTTTAACATTTTGGAATGCATTCTCTTATAATAAACAACATTAAGTTGCAGGTGCAGGACTGCAGCAATTTATGTACATTTTGACTTTGAGCGTAGGAATTTGTAGCCCAGGGATCAGGGTATTTTTAAGTGTTTGAAATAATAAATCTTAAATTAACCTAGGCATGAAAGATTATGTCCTTCTTTATGTCATGATGTTTATGACAGGCCTGAGACTGTAGTGGTATCCTGCCTAGAAAGCAGCTTTACATCAGGACACAGGCACAATGTGCCAGGAAGAAAAATACGCTTTTCTACTGACTTTAGGCCATTGTCCTTGTTTTCTCTGGGGACATACCAGGTGCCTTTTCCTATTTTAAATAATCCGTTATTCCTAAAGCATTTGGGAAGGCTTTGTAAAAATGCCCCATATGATGCTGTTAATTTACTAGAAGTATGTTTGGCACAGAAGACTGAGATGTTTTGTTTGTTTGAGTGGAAGGCTGAAAAAGAGCAAATGTAAGTCTGTATGCTGGCCCTAAATAGCTTAGTGAATGCCTCGAGTGTGGTACTAAGAAATACCTCGGTCTAAGGCACTGTCAAAACTGGTAGGTGTCTCTCACAAACCCATGTGTATCACAGAAGCAGAGAATCGTGTAGGCTGGAGGGGATGGCCAGAGCTCGTCTTGTCCTGCCTCCTGCCCAACGCAGGCCCCATTTCAGCAGGTTGCCCAGGCCACCTCCCGCCAGGTTGGGAGTATCTCCAAGGATGGTGATGCCACGTTGTTTCTTGGCAACCTGGCCTAATGTTTGACCACCCTCAATGGTATTTTTTTTCCTTTCTATTGAATTGGAATTTCCCATAATTACCCTTGCATCCCATTGCCTCTTGTCATTTCACGGTGCACCTCTGTGAGGGTCTGTGTTTCATCTTCCCTGCTCTCTCTCGTTCAGCAGTTGCAGGCAGCAATAAGCTCTCCCTTTCGTCGGCTGTTCCCCAGGCAGTGCAGACCCAGCTATCTCGGCTCCTCCTTGTATGTCTTACCTATTGCCTCGGTGCCTGCGCTGATGCGCTCCACTCTTTCAACATCTTTCTTGAACTGGGGAGAGCAGAGCTGGAGATGCTGCTCCCGATGCAGTCTGACAAGTGCCAGGAAGAGGGGACTTGTCAGGTCCCTCAGGCTGCCAGCAGTGTTTCTGGTAAAACAGCCCAGGGTGCTGTTGGCCTTCCTTGCTGCCAGGGCGCACTGCTGGTTCACGATGAACTCGAACTCGTCGTCCACAGGAACCTCCAGGTTTTTTTTTCTTGCAAATAGGCTTTCCAGCCAGTTGGCCCCCAGCCCGTCCTGCTGCGTGGGGTTATTCTATCTCAGATGCAGGGCTCTGCATCTTAATGTATTGAATTAAAATTATAGAATTCAACGTATTGGATTATAATTTTGTGCTAGTGAGAACTAATAGCTTTGAGTTTGCCATTGGGGAATAGCAGTGGCATACTCTCAGCATAGTCTAAATAATGCAGAATTGTGCATAACGACTCTCATTTGTGGATAATCAGTTTAACAAAATCACCTAAAGCTGCTAATATATCAGGTGCATCCTGGGATAAATAAATTACAGAAATCATAATAAATTGCCAAAGAAGGGAAAATGAGTTGTTTCCGGAAAGGAGGTGGTTTTTTTTTTTTAGACTAACAGTGCTTTGATTTTGTTGTGTAGATTTATGTATCAAGTGAGCTAAGCTAATTTAAAAGCAAAACCGATACTATTTTTGGGTTATTCTGTTTATCGATCAAGTGAATATTTAATTTTTCTTTTTAGATTACAGAGTGTGGAATGTTTTCGTTAAAGAAGGAGTTTGAAACATACTTTATTCTGAGGATATTGAGATACTGTTTAATATTCACCAGTATTTTCATTGTATATCAAATAGTTTTCATTCAATGGCTGTTCATTACTAGTGTGCTTTCACGTCTATGTAAATTCTCAAACTAAAAGCTAATTTTTTTTTTTTTTTTTTTTTTTGTATTTTATGTCAAATTTTCTTATAGAAACATCTGGTTCTCTCTTAAGAATTTTAGGATTATGTGAGTACTTTGGTGGTTAACAAGTGTTGTTGTCTTGTTTTTTGTTTTTTTGCCAGTCATAATAAAGGTAGCTTTCTTTGTGTTGCCAGCAGACCCCCTTAAAGATAACCCAAGTCTTTACTTATGCTTTTCCCTCACTGTTAATTCACCTTCCCTTTTTAAGAGTCCTGGAATTTGTCAGAATTGAATTTTGGGGGATGAATTCAACTTCTCTCTGCCCATGGTCTATTGCAGCTTTCTCAAAAGCTCTGTATGTCCGCGATGTTAGGAAAATCTGGTGTCTTGTAAATGAAGCCTCAGAAGCTGAAGACTCTCAGCTAGAAGATATTACAGAGAAAAGCAGCATTTCTGGTGCTGCCTATGATTTTCAGAAGATGACCCCCTTTGTTAATGAGGCATGCAATCCTATTTGGCATGGGTCAGAGGTAGGACGATCTTCTTGCAGGTGAAATGTCGTTTGCCGCATTTTGCAGAGTATTAGCCTGAACCTATATTTGGTTGGCACCTGTGCTCCAAAACTGGCATCCCACCTTGTGAGAAGGCAGGATGCCACTCTGACAGATGGGGAGGAATGCAAGCATGCCAGCAAAGCAGTGTATGCATCAAGGGGTCACATTTCTCTCCAGGAATGTTGAAATACCGGTACATGCAGAGCTTCTGTATCTGAGGCACACGTGTTTCTTGGCAAGGACCAAAGTTCCTGCTGAATATCTTGGCACTGTACGTAAGGAAGCTTAGTGAATTTTCATGGCTTTCATGGGGTTTCTACACCATGGGAGCCTACATATAATTTCTGCTAAGAATGGCCCTGTGAATATAAACAGAAGAGGGAATATCTCTTGCAAATTATTCTTTCTTATTAATAGATTAAGAACTGTTAAAATGCCATCATAGCTTTCATGGATGATGATTCTTTTGATTAGTTAATGGTTGGTTTATCCTGGTCTGAGAGCAATAGAACGTGTGGTTTGGCAATCAACCCTAAGTGAGAATATCACAGCTTAAACTTCTACCATTTCTTTTCCATAATATCTTTTATTTTAACTTAAAAGTAAATTATGGAATCCCCTCACACTTTTGGACTTCATCAATAATTTTTTTCCCGTGTTCCCCAAAATGATATAATGTATTAAAATTAACCCTAGGGCACTCCTTTCTTTTGCCGAAGGTAATTCTGAATGGTTTATTTCAATGTTTTTACTTTTTTTTTTTTTTCCTCCAGAATTACTGTAAAGCTTTTCTATTTCATCCATTACAGCACAGTGTTTTTCACATTTGAATAGCTGCATCAACATGAATCCTTTATAAGGACCTTAAAAACAAACTTTGCCAAGTCCCAGAATACAGAAGCTAATTCACATCCCAATACTCAGCTGCCTCATGAATAAAGGAGAGTCTGTGCCTGACACTTTGAAGCTGTAGCTGTTAAACCATACAGACTATTTACCTCAATAAATCATTATAAGAAACTAAGGTACAATTATACCCACAGAGAAATAGAATTCAAAACACTGATTTATGTGGTTCAGTGCCTGTTCCCTTTTCCATCATGTTTTGAATTTTATGCATGTTTGTCATCTTTGGCTGCTTCCATGTATCTTTAAACTAATGGGTCTTGCTTTTTTAACATTCCTCATTAGGTTTGTTATTTTACTTTGACATACAGACATGATTTGCACGCTGTACAAAGTTTTGCATTTAAAATTAACTATCTAATTTCTTATGGTATAGTGCAAAAATGGAAAATGTGAGTAATTTGTTTAAACTAACCTATAGCCCTCTCTGGTTAATTTGTGACCATCTAAGCTGAAATTCCGTATTATAAATATATATACATTTTTTGGTGCTTATTTGTGGGATCTGGAGAAAGATTAGCATACAAAGGAGTGTATCATTGTACTTTTAATAATGTCCGTACTTATCTAGAGGGCTGTCACAAAGAGATGGGCGACATGCGAATTTACAATTGCAGTTAGTTCCTCCCTTTCTTTATCCCTTGAAGAGACAAAATGAAACTAAAAGACAAAAATTAAGCAAAATGAAAGCTCTGGCTCAGAGGAAGGAATGGCACTGAAACTGACAAATAATTCCATATGAAATGGCAGAAGTAAGGTAAATATATCTAGCAAGTGGAGTTTGCGACCAGCCACAGACTCTGTTAGGCCACCCAAGCCTTGAAGAGGATGAATGAGCACGCAGTGTTGTCCTCTAGAGCAACAGGGTGGGAAGTGATTTAATAACCAATAAATGTTCCTTAATAAAACTTCAGAAAGTTTCAAAATATTTAAATTGAGATTTTGAATATGAACAATGGTAAATATACTGCAGTTCCAAAAGCCTCATGCCGTGCTAATAACTTTGAGAGCTCTTGGATCTAAACAATACTGAATGAGGGTATATCATGCAACCTTCCTGGTCTTGAAGTTGTTTCTGTTATTGAGAGGGAGTTATAAATCCATTGTTATTTCAGAAGGGATATGAGACAAGAAAGTTTTTAGACCGTGTATCACATCTGGATACCTAGTTAAAAACATATCTGTTTAAGACAAGTTTGACCATTTCAGACAGCTTTTGCTTCACAGTGGACATCAGAAATTAGAGGGGAAAAGCCTAAATGCTTATCTGTAAGTGTTTCTACGTTTTTGTTACCTTATGCTAAATTTCATAAGAGCTTCAATTCAGACATGAATATGCATATATAAGGTGTATAATGCTCATATGATAGCCATTATAAATAACATACAAAAAACAAAAATATGAGTAACAGCACACAACCTTTTGCATCCACCATGTCATTCACATACACATCTAACTCTTATGCTTCTGTGTGTGTTTGCATCTCTGAATCTACAGGCATTTTGTGAGGAAACAATATAGTACCTAAAAGTTTCCATATATAAACAATGTTATCTATCCATAATTGAAAACTCATCTATGGATATTCCATGTCCTGTTGCCCAATATTCTGGAATCCTAAACTTCCCAAGTTTTTGCAAGCTTCAGGAAAATTGGTGACTAGCTAGGAAAAAGAGAGTGATCCCAAGTGTTCCTCTGGACTGGTGGGAATGAAGCAGGCGTGCAGCAGGACCTGCAGCCAGCCAGGCAGCTTGTCATCGTTTCTGTCCGAAACGCGTGCTGCGTGTTGCCCTGCTGAGTACCCAGCTGCATGCCCTGGTGAAGGGCTGAAAGGAACCAGAGCTCCTGGTATTGCCGCGGTCAGGGGAAACTGGAGGGGAGGCCACAGGAGATACAAGCAGAAAATGGAAGTTATTGTGGTCGGACCCATGGGAGCGTGACAGCGTGCAGATCTGGTAACTCCTCTCTGAACCTTTCCGTTGCTTACAGAGCAATTTGTTCATTAAAACTGTTTACGTCTGTTGAAATTCTGTTAATGAAATTGCATTTTATAGGAGCTTTGTAGTACCTAAATATTTGTTGTTTACCCCCCTATCCCCATGCTTAGTGCCCCAGAATGGAGGTTCCTGCTCATTTATAAAAACATTAATGCCATCAACAATTGAAATCTCTTATCAGATATTTCCATTTAATAAAATTTAAAATTATTTAATATTTCACATTGCTATGTGATAGCACTGGCTCTGAACTATAAAAATGAAGAGGCATTATATTCTGCAAAATGCTGAAATCTCATCCTTAATTTAAAGAAATTCTGGGACGTTTTCAACACTTTCTGAAATTTCAAATATTTACTAGGATTTGATAGATAACCTGGCATCTTCAGCCTCTCATTTCCTAGGCAACAAATATAAATACGTACATACAAATGCTATTTAAAAGCGTTCAAAGTTAGTGGTTGTTTGCCACGTAAATGGAAACACCATCTCAGCCATTGGGATGACACAGAAACTGAGGGAAATGGGTCTCCTAGTACTCATTCCATTTTCTCTTCCACTAGAGACTCGTGTATCTGGAACTTTCCTTCAGCACTAAAATGGTACACATCAAAAATAATAGTGTCTTACTTCCTAATGAAATCTCTTCCCAAAACTTCTGAGGAGCATCTGCTCTTTCAGGTTTATGTTTTGTCCTAAACACAGGTTCTAGAGAAGTGTAAGTGCTTTGGCTACGTACTAGGTTTACTGAAATAGTTGTGCAGGTGTCACCTGGATGGGGCTGCAGCTACAGTAGCAGGAAAGGGCCACGTCTTTCTTCCATAACACGAGGAACTTCACACGTAGAAAACAGTTTTAGGTCTCATCACAGTACAGGACCTGAGCTGATTAAGTTAAATCAGCATAGTTAAGCATAACGTTTATATGTAGACAAATCTCAAGCATTGCATGAACACAAATAGACTTGCATGGTTTACAAAACAGCCTGTTAGTTGCAGCCTCTCACACAAATAGGGTGAAAAGTTTTTAAATAAACTTAATGAGATAATGATGCAACTCTGGCAGTGCTAAGGAGGGCAAGATATGTCCCAGGAAAGCCCTGTGAATCCTAACCTGGGGCACCTGAACCAATTTGGTGATGTTACTGTAGCACACTTTTTTAATGGCTTGTTTGCAAAAAGGGGTAGGAGTAAGGAGGCACAGTCTTCTGCAGGTTTTTTGTTACTTTTCTTCTAATGGCGCATGCCTTTCAGTCACCAAAACTTCAAGTTCAAACAAAAGGTCTTTAATTTTAGCAATGATTTTTCAGAACATCCCAGGATTACCTATAATAGATAGTGTGTATAGCAAGAACAAACAAAACATCAATAATAACCTTCTAGCATGGCTTTATCTGGGTGTACTGAATTACAAGGAAAACAGTTCTGGATTTTTTCTGAAGTCTTACGGTCACAGATTGCGTGTTTAAAAGTGAAAAAGGAGTAGCCAGACAAAGAAACAACATAAAAAGCCTTAAGTTTGCATGAGGTACACTATGCTGAAATCCTGGCCTCAAATCAATAAGGAACCCTTTATCTGTCACATACTGAGGGATTATAGACTCAACATTTTCGAAGATGTGTTTGAATAGCATTGACATCAAAACCTTCTGAAAACTCCAGGTGGATTACGCACTGTGTACTGTTTGTATCTGTAAGTATAAGCAGCTGAACAGCTGTTTCAGGCTTATCTGTGCTGCAGTTTTCAAGTATGCTATGCTTATTTCTTAGGAAATAATTAGTAAGGAGCAGTGCAGTGTTTATGTTGGTGGAGTGGTTAAGGCATAAGGATTCAAGAAGTCAGGGTTTTCCTTGCAGTTATGCTACAGACATTCTTTGTGAATGGGCTCAATTAAGGCCTCCTTCTATAGCTCTGTTTCTCTATAGGTGCAGTGGAGATGGTACTTACAGCGTGTGATGGGGTATTACTGTATTATTGTTGAAAAGTGCACACATTTACTTTTAAAGGTACAATACAGCAGCTTTAGGTGTTGGGATTTGGAAAATATTTCATAGCAGGCAAAGCCACTCTTCCAAAAAAGTAGTCTCGGGAAAACAAGCAGTTATAGCTTTCAGTAATCTCTGCTTGGTGAATCTGAAAACCACATTGAGGGCACTTTGCTTAAGCAGTTGTAATTTAGATGTACCAATATAGGCTGATCTCTCCATTTTAAACTGTTGAAACAAGCTTGTTTTGCTGTGAAGATGCTGAACACCTCAGTGCAACAGCTGTTTATCTGAGGAGGAGTTGTGAGTTATGCAACATACCTTAGGACATTTAGAAAATTGTTTATTAGATAAGTTCTTACCACAAATTCTGGGATTTAAGAAAGGCAATAGACCCAAATGTGTACTAGAGACAAAAACAAACAAAAAACAACCCCCCAAACGTGAAAACAGAAGGGAGGGAAAAAGACTGTAATGAACAAGTCATTGGGCTGTATCTCACACATTATAAACTCAGAGAAAAGCTTAATATTAGATTTAGAAGATACCCATACAAGAAAGCTTCTTGGAGTCTGCACATTGTCCCGTCAATTATTTTAAGTGTTTCAACCTGCTGCTCCATACCGATGCCCAGCTCTCTTTAAATGTGGAGAAATGAGGGGGCTGGCCTTTTAAAAATGAATCAGATAATCAGTATCAATTACCTCCTTGATATTTATGAGGAAAATGTTGTTGTTTATTGGGCAAAAAATTAATAACTTAGTGTGTGTGGGGGGTACTTCTACCATGATGCTTACACTATTCCTAAAATTAGCTTTATGTTTGCATTCAAGTGACATGCATTAGCAAAAAGACTGTCAATGGCAGCAATCTAGTTAATATAAATCAGGAGAATTGTGGACGAGTGAAAGTGAAGAGCCGAAGATCTGCTTTTGTTTGACAAGTCTATGCACTTTATTTCATAAGCTTGCTTTCTGTATTTAAACAAACATCCAGAGCATTCTTCTGGAGGGCTACCGAGAAATAGGACATTTAGTTCTGTTTTACAGTGATGAGGCTTTTTTTAAAATTTTTTTATTTAAATCCAAATTTCATCAAGTTTATGTCAGAACAAGTAAAAATGTTTTGTTTTGAGGACTGATAAAATTCAAGCACCCTTCACTTGTGATCAGGCTTTAGGAGGTAAATTTTGAGCATGCCCACAGCTGCGCAAGAGGAGCTTCCTTGGAACTGTTTGTTGTTCTGCTTGTTGCTTTAGGCAACAAAACCAACCAAATCTCTGCAGGATAAAACAAAGAATAAAACATGCAATAATTTGGTGATAGACAAAGTGCCGTGCTGGATAAATATGCCTGCAGAAATACAGCTTAAGAATAAGGACAGGTTAAACTGAAAATGAAATCTTACCTTTGGTTGAAAGGTGGTTCTGAATTTCCAGGCAGGGGAAGCAAGCATGGCCCTGTGAGTTCTTCCAGGGCATCGGTGCCTCTGGTACTACGCAGAGCTCCGCAGAATACGTTCTCTGCTAAACAGCATTCCCATTATTTTAATCTATTATTTTGTGAAAACCTGGCCTCAAAAGCAGTTAGATGATACCCATGCGAGTTGGAAGCAGAGCAAAGGTGTTGGTCAGAGACTCTGGAGGCCAGAAGGGAAGTTTTGCCTGAAGTCATGTTAAGGCATGGTGCTGGAGATGGAGGTGGGCTATTTCTTTTCCAAAGAAAAGCCTGAACAAATGGCTCATTAACAGGTCATGACTGTGGTCAAAATTTTCTTTCAAATATTTTGATTTAATCCAGAAGTACATATATATATGTCTGTCTGTATACTATAAATGTACTGGTCTTCGTGTGTCGCTGTGCATGTAAATATACGTACGTACACGCGTATGAATGGTTAAGAATGTGAAGGCGTGTACTCTCCTATGATTATTATACCGTAATGGAACGATGTACGTTCTAGCTCTTGGATTTCTTGTTAGGTGAATGGGTGAGCTAAGAATTAGGAACATCATGAGGAGATGGGGATAACGCTAGCAATTAACTTCCCCAGTCATACTTGTGTAATTATATTCTAAGATGGCAAAGGAAAGTTTCAGGTGACAGTTTCTTCCTTTACTCACTAGAGGAAAACTTGTTGCTTCGAGCCTTCTTCCATAGACCTTGAGTGAAAGGAAGTTGTTAGCAGCAAGTAAGGGACAAGCTCACATTGTGGTCTTGACAGGTGATGCTTGAAACTTGCTGTTTAGCATGTTAATTTTAATTTGAAGATTTTAATTAGAAGAAGAGCATAGAGGTCCTAAATATCTTGCTTGTCTTGCTCTGAGTTTTAATAATTTGTGAGTTTGGCGGAAAGGCAAGGAAAGCCTCGTGTATGCAGATACCAAGGAAGGAATTCTGTGTTAGAAGGCAGCATGAGATCTGGTGTAATATTTAGCTGTGCCGTGGTCTTCCCATGTGAGTAGGAAATGCTTACTTTCAGCTCTACAATCTGTATTTTTATTTATGTGCTACATTCTTTCTTCTCTTTTCTGTCACTGTTCAGGACAGAATCTCCCATTTACTGTATATCTCCTGTCTATATAAGTAGTGCCTGATATAATGGGATGCAGTTGGGGGTCTCAGTGTTATCAAAATGACAGAATTTTGTAACACAGTTAAAAATGATTTATTTATTTTTGTGTGTAGGGGACGTTCAAATGGGTTGCCAATGTTGAACTATTGAGCAATTGAACAGAGATAACAGTCTTACATACATAGTGAAATTAACATGAAGTTGAAGTCCATTCTTATGTTTGGTGGTTTTGTTGTTTGAAACTTACATTGTTCTTGGATAGCAATATAATTAATTTCATTTTCTTTGTAATGAAGCTAATATTTGCGGTGTTATTAAAGAAACAATTGTTTTTGAAATACTTGAATGTTTTTGTTGCTGAAAAATAGGTAAGGAATTTCAAATATAAGGTTACTGATTACTGATTTTGAAGTATGTGATAATACACTGAAGTAAATTAAAACTGCAACAAGTAAGGTGAATGTTATTGTGTAACTTCTTTTTTGCAGTCCAGTTCAATGAAGTCTCTGTGCAATAGATACTTTGAAGCAAGAGAGAAAGTCATTAATAGCGAAATTCTTTGCCTGATTTATAGATCAACTTTCCAACTAGTTCATAAACTTCTGGTAAAGAAAAATTGTCTTTTTTTTTTTTTTTTTAATGCTAATATAATAAAGTGCGGTGCCCACCAGAATTATGCATAACTGATATTTTTGTATGTTATGAGAAGCAGATTGGAACCATAACCATTTCCATTTTAACATGTAAATATGCAACTACTGTGTTTTTAAAATCACTTTAAAATTGTGAGAGACCAAGAGGCAATCTGTAACTACAAGTAATTTAGTTAAGAAGTCAGAACTTCAAATGTTCAAACTTATAATTCTTGAGAAATGTACACTGTGTACACATACTTGAAAGCACTTTTAATAGTTGTGCAGGGAAAGATACTTAAGCCTAGTACAGGACAGCATGCCTGAAAAGTGAACCTTCAGTGCAGTATCATTTTAAGTTTACACGTTACGTTACCAATAAGCAACCTAGCTAATATTTGTGCATTGTAATTAATCGATTTGTACATCCTGGTGACAGTTTAGGATGGAGGACTTTGGTTTTTTCTTTGTTGTCTAGGGATTTAGCCTTTTTACGTCTTTCCACAGGAGTATCTAAATTTTAAGAGTGAGTTGAACATAGCTTCAGTTTGTTTAAAAACAATAAAATTAAATACAACCTTGGTATCTGGCATCTTGGCATACTGATTATCTACTTCACAGTTTTTATAATGCAATTTATACCTGCTGCACTCATAAGCATTTGCAAATCTTTACTTTCTAAAATTTTATTTTTTATTATTTTTTTAAGACTTGCCTTTTTTGTGTGAGTGTACCAAAATGTCAAATCAAAAAACATCATATTTAGTGTATTAGAGGAGGTGAGTGACAATCCATCAGACTTTAAAAGATCGTCGATTCACCCATGAATTCTCCTAATGGCTGCCATTTGATAAAGAGGCCATTTGGTATCAAGATCCTGAAGGGAGACCAGTGATCTCCCCTCAGTAGTGACGTTGTTTAAAAATGTCAGGTAGGAAATGTGGCTTGGTTTTGGAATACTTTGTGTGATCTAGTAATTTCGGGTGGGTACTTCCTAATGGTGTTATTGCAATGTTTTCTGCATGCATGCCGTAATTCAGTGTGACGGTAGGACTGTGAGGAGGTGTGCTGGAGTGGGTGCTCCTGTGGTACACAGCATGGGGAACTGCAAAACCTTGCCTGAAGCATCCAAAGTGAAGGAAGCAGTTCCAGGCTTTCCTCAAAGGTACACAGCTGCAATCTCTGGACTCTGTGATGGCTTAGACAAGAGGTATAGTTTGTACATTAAAATACTGTAGATAGGAAAGACATTCTGTGGTTTTTATATTCTTATTCATATCTTTTACTATCTTTCCACTAAGATGAAACTGTGCCTTTTTTTTAAAAAAAAAAAAAAAAAAAAAAAAGTGTCCTGTCTCTGTGACAAATTCCTTTAGGAAAAATGGTCAGATGCTGAATCTAATTAAGTCTAGCCACTAAGTGTGGTTGAATCCTCAAGCTGTGCTCCTACAGGCAGTTTAAGCAAAACTGACTTGATCTGCTTGACAAATGAGAACTCCGTTGTGAGGACTGCTACCAAATCTGCATAAAGAAAACAGGCTGGAAAGGCATGGGAATTGCAGGTGGTTTTGCATTCGTATCATCAAAGTCCATGTTTCCTTTTCCCCCTTTCAGAGATGCTGTCCTATTCTCCTGGTGGCTATATATTTTCCCTTCCCAGGATGCTTTCTGCTCGCTAACCAAAATAAATAAAAAAATAAAAAAATAAATTGGCTTAAGTCAACTAAACTTTGTTTTTATGGCCTCTCCCAGGACAGGCCAGTAAGCAAAGCTTCATAAGGCGACTTCCTTTCCTCTCCTCTCCTCAACATCTGTACATAGGTCCAAGGAAAGTCACACATGAAAAGGCTTCAGGGAAACTTTCATTTCTAGAAAACTGTAATCCTAGAATTCTCCAAATCCGAAAACAGACTGATTGCACGTGAATTACTTCTGATCCCTTTTCTCTTCTCTGAATTCATTTGACAGCTCTTTTCCAGCATTTCCCCTTGAAGTACCCTTTACGCTCTTTCCCCAATATTCTACTGCCATTCTCCAGAAGCAGGCATTTTTATCCCATCTTGTGTTCAAATCTTTGTGTTAACCTTTAATGTACCTTGACCCTTGTAGTGACCGTTCTGAAATCTTTTTACGCTGTCATATAATTAATACAGAGTTACTAATTCTTTAGTTTTCAGGGGAGGACCTAGAGCGTTTGTAATTCAGTACAGGAAAATACTACAACAGTGAGAGTACAAATGGATATGTAAATGCAGCTTTAACCTACGTAGATGTAGAGACCTGTCTGCTCGTCGATATGTATGCTTGGGACCAGAGGTTTCAGGATGCTAAGCATCACTTTGGTGTCTGTTACAGTCCTTCATTCTGGGCCTTTGTGGCGAGTCAGGTGGTCAATAGCATTTTTTTTAATATTTTCATATGTGTTTTCCTCTAAATCGGTGATAGGTTTTAGCTTCCTTCCAACTAGTACAGGCTGCAGATAGAAAAACGAAACCTACTAACTAATACCTGTTTATTTACATACCTTGCATACATAAACTAATGAAATACCTCAGTGGTCTGAGCCAGTCTCCATGTAATTGGCTTACTGATCTAATCAAAGTTATTTTCAAAGAGCTTGCTCTCCTTCAGGAGTTAACATGCCAATCCTTTATAGCTTCCCTTCAGCTTTTGTCTACTTCCAATGCTTTAAGAAAATTTATCTCTTACAGAGATTTTGATATTTTTCTTAGCATTGCTACCATAGCCACCATAGGAGATGTTGCTTTTTTATTTACAGGGAATGCAATACTAGAAATCTTCTTGTTGTTGATTATTATTTCCCCATAAATAAAGATTTTTCTCCTTTCTTCTAAATTCATTTTTCCAGCACTTGATCACATCTTACATAGTGGCCGTTGCAAACTTAAGCTAGGGTAAATTTGTTTGTACTGAAAAGCTATGCATCCTGAAATAACAAAAGCTTCACATTTCTGTGTTTGCGGGCAGGCAGAGTTAAGATCCCTGCGTAGAGAAAAGAAGTCCTGTCTTGAGCACCATTAATTTTCTAAATGCTGGCTTTTGGCTTCTCAGTCTCAGGCTTTTCCAGTCTTTCTGAAGCTGTCTCTGCCTTATCTTCTCATCTCAGTGATGAGTGCACTGCACACATTTGTTTTGGTTATCTAAAAAATAGTCTGTGGAATAATATGTCCTATAATGATGGTGTTACGGAGTCCTGCAAACTATAAGGAATGCTTTCTGAAGTCACTGCTAATGTCTTCCTGTCAGCCCCAAACTACACAATGACAGCTTAGAAAGTGGAAACTCACTGAAAAGTGTGGTCTGTATTGCTCCAGGACTTGAGTCAGGAATGATTTGTCCTTGCTTAGTACATTCTACAGAAACTGTGCTAGACAACTTTAAGACCATGGTGTTTTTTTCTTGTTTCTTGTCTCATTCGGTGTATAAGTAAGCTTCCTGATTTTATTTCTTGTTTTTCTTTGGCATCTTGGTGATTCAGACTCCATATACTTACTCATTCTATCACAGTGTTTTCAAAAAAAAAAAAAGTGCAGAGGTTTTAGAGGAAGCTTGTAAGTGGTCAGGCTGGCTCTGGCTCCGGGTCCATCACAGCTGGAGTTGATCTAAGTTTGGGCTGCTTTGTCGTCTCCTCTATTGCCTCTGGCTCTGTGTTTCCACCTTCTCCATTGTGCTGGCACTAGCCCTAGTGTGATCATTCTGTGAATTGCTCCTTGGAGCAGATCTGGTTGAAAGTTTTTTTTTTTTTTTTTTGTTTGGTCTCTTTTTTTCTTTTTTTTCTCTTCACTGCTGTGGGGTTAGCTTCCAGACAAGTCACCTCCCTGAATTGGCTCCTGCGCACTTGTGTGGGTGTTAGTGCTGATGCAAGGGAAAGAATAGAAATGCTTAGTTGGTACAGAAAGGATGGGAGGCAGCACTGTGTCAACTGACTGTTTGTCTGTTTAATGGGCCACAGGATCGCATCCTCAGGCTGTGGTTCCACTCTTCCTTTAAGCTCACAGCAGTGGCATGATCTCCGCACCAGCACCCAGACACTCAGCTCTGTCTCCCATTGTGCCAGCACTGTTTTTTTTGTAGCTGCTTCCTCATCACAACAGCCCCTCTCCCCTAGCCCAGAGCTGTTTCTTCAGCTGACTTAAGATGGTAGTAGGATGGGAGCGATGAAGGTGATCTCTCTGATGCCAGCCAGTAAGCCACATAAGTAACCATGGAACTGCAGCTTGTGAAGTACAGAGATTACATTTTACAAAGGAAACCAGTCCGCTTAGTCTTGATATTACTTTCAAGAAGGCTTTTCTTGAACAGAAGATTGCTCCCCCCACCTTCTCCTTCAACACACAACTCCCAGTTCAAGTCTTTTTGCAGGCACTTGTAGGTCTGTGTCGATGTACAGCCCAGCTCTGACATCTCTCATATTCCAAAAGTTTTTGATGTGTTTTTATGCAGAGAATACAGAAAACAATAGGGTTAAGAGAAGGAGTGATTTAATCAACTTTCATTGAAATGTTCATAAATGGTGAGACTAGACAAGGGCTGCAATAGTCTTGCAAGGTAGAATTCATCTCAACTGCTGTAGTCACTAAAAGATAGCTTTCGCCTAAATTAATTGTTTCGAAGTCCTTCTTCAGGGGAAAGGGGCAGACTCCTCCAGTGGCCAGTTTTTCCTTTTCTACATCAGTTTCTTATGGGCAAAGCAGGGCAATTCTGAAACATGTCATGGAGATACCTCTCTGCATGTATGTATTTGATTATAAAGGAATTCTACACAATTAGCTTAGACTAGACAGCTACTTTTAATTTCCTGAAGTTATACGAGTTATAATTGAGTCTCAATGTTAGTTTATCATACGCACAATTTTTTTCCACCCTTAAGTGCAGAAAACCTTTGTAAGACCAGCAGCTTTTTTGTATTAAGAAACTTAAATTATTTCATCAACTTATCAGCTACTCTTTACATAGACAGAATTACATCCACTTTAAAGAAGCTCTGAATTTTTGTGAAGTGTAGTGATTCAACCCAGAAAGAATTTTTAAGCAAACATCTGAGAAATCACATTATTTCTGAATTTTTCATTCAAAAATCTGAACATCATGCTGGAAACTTCATTATAGGTTGGAAATAACTTGGTTATTGAACACAGGGCTGTTTATTTTGTCCAGTAAGTATGTTCACGAAATTTTGGTAAATTTTTGAAGTCAAATAGCAAATTTGAAAGTAGCATAAAGCTCTACCTGGCTAATAATGTGACATGCTCTGCATAACTGTAGTGTTAAAAAAAAAAAAAAAGTCTTCAAATCTTAAGGAGTAGTATCTCTGCATCTTAAGGGCAAGAGTCTAAATCTGAATGTAAGTATAAAAGCTGGAAAAGATTGAACATATGTTATTTCCCACCAGCACAATATTAAATGCAATTATTTTCTTTCTGCTAAAATCTTGAATATATCTTGCAACACAACCTCAAAGAGTCCCCTGCTGCTGTTGATTATAGTGAATCCCACTTCCTGCCACCCAGTAAGTCTTTGCAATTTTCTCTTTTTCGCCACCCTGTGGAGATAAATAATGTATATTAATGTGAAAATATCAACAGTAAAATCCCTTAATATTCTCCACAAAATAAAACTTCTCTCTAAATCAAAGGATTCCTATCTTTCATTAATTTCTTGAGCAAAAAGAAACAAGTTCCTCATGTAAAGGCTTTGAAAAGTTTGAATCCCACTCTTAGAAAACAAGTGTGCCAAACGCACTATAGGAGAGGACTGGGCATTTCAGAATCTGAAATTCAAGAATTGGAAAAAAAGATTCAGTATGGGATACTACATTTAAAGCACCAATTTTAGTCTTTTCCTATCTCCCTTTTTCACTGAATTGGCCTTAACAAATCCTTATGTGACGCAGAACCTTAGAAAGCATGTCTGCATTTTTTAGGCGTTGCTACCTGTGCCAAACACAACGATTATGCAGGATATATTATAGAATTTTCATCATTTGTGGTCACAATAGATGTGTGCATTCAAGCCTAATACGTTGTTAATTCCGTGCTGAACTCTCCCTAGTTTTGTACATTGCAAACCATAACATGACAATTTTTCCTTACAGCTGTGAGATCTAGAAAGGGCAGGAAAAGCAAAAGCAGAAGCTGTGACCCCTTGAAAATATCTTTACAATCCACTCTGGGTTTCAATGCTTAAATGGAAAATTACCACACTAATAATATTTTATACTTTCTGATCATAAGAGTTGGGGATTTGAGGGTGGTGGTGCTGACCATACTGATTGTAAAGTGCTCTCCTTTTGCTCACCATAATTTTGTTATTTTGTTTAAAATTCTAACTTCCACGAGCATGGGCTCCTTTGCTGAAGACTGTGAACATGTTAAAAAACGAAAAGGAAAGAGGAAAGGAAAAAAAAAAAAAAAGAAACCTTAGTCACAGACATTTTAGATGTCTGAGAAATCTAACCAGTCCGTATTATTAAAATGCCATCAAATTAAAATCATGGCAAAATCCTGAGACAGAGGCAAATCGTGGCCCCCTTGCCCAGGGTTGTGGCAGGCCAGAAGTCAAGGAGGCAACCAGGAGTATAATTTCTGGGGGAAGCAGGGGAGGGAGAAGGGATGGTACCTGCCGTATCTCAGGGCTGAGGAAGCTGGCAGTACTGCAAACAGGCAGTTACACGATGCATTGTGTTGGCTGCTACACGATTTGGCATTAGTGCGGGCTCTTACAGACCGAGGCAGAAGTTTCCTCCTTTTGTCCCCATCTCCCCTACCAATAACTGCTTCTGAGAAGGTATTTTCCCCATGGCGTTCTTTAAAAGGTATACAAAATATTTTCAATAATGCCTTGCTGTTAGATTTCTGTGTAAATAATTTGTGTTATTTATAATTTGTGTAAAAATCCATCTAAATCAGGAAGACTGTTTGCTACTTTCTGCCCCAATTCTGTAAACATTGATATTCATGTTTAGTTTAAACCATAAGCAGTCCCCATTTGGGTGAAGTTAAGTATGGCTGTATCTGCAAATTGGGAACTTGACCTACTTTGCATATCATTATATATGTAGCATAATTTTACTCCAAGAGAGTAGCCTATAGATGGGAATTCTGAGTTGTTTTAGAGTCCATCAAAGAAATTAAATCTGGCCAACTAATATGAATTAAATATTGTTGTGCTTCAGTGCAATATATTCATTTATAACAGAGTAAATAGTAGGAAGAACATAAGCATTAACAGGAATTGGAATTTATTCAGTGTCTGAGGTAAAATAAAAACCAGCTTGGATGGTGGTAACTCACAGGTGATTTATGAGTATCTCTTACGATTAGAACTAAAGTGTTTTTTTTTTTTTTTTTAATTTTTTTTTATATGGCACAAAGAGGTTTTTGTTTGTTTTGAAAATGTAGATGCGATAAGATAGGCAACATTTTTAATGTCAAGTTGGCTGTGCATCCTCTTGCTTCTATTAGGCCATGATAATAGCAATAGCTAAAGAATCCTGCCGTAGAATGTGATGCAGGACTTCAAGGATGTGAAGTCTGAGCCTCATTACTAACTTGTATGAGTATTTTTACACGTTATCTATTCCATTAAGCTAGTTCCTGATACTGCAGAAGTTTATATGCCTAGAATTATACAGAGTGAATAATTCTATTAGAGTAAATTGGACTACCACAAATGTGTGAAGTGAAACGTGCATGTGAGTCTTTGCAGGACTGGGACTTTTAATGGTGCTCTCGTTACACATAAATATAATTGATGTGAGCAGTCTTTTATGAATTACGTTTCCCAACAAAGAAATAGGATAAGAAGATGAAAAGTCCAGAAAGGATAGGCCCCAGCTTTTCAGAGACAGATGCCTACATTTGCATGCATCCGATATAAGCAGATAGGGATCTGTCTAAATCGAGCTTGAGGCATGCATTCTTTGAATTTTTTTTTTTTTTTTTTTGCTCAAGTGACTTGGTGTAAGTGACTTGTTCAAAAACACTCTGTAGGTTTGTAGCACAGCCAGGAATAGAACCCACATCTCCTGACTCACACTTGTAGACCAGACTTCTTCTGTAATTTGTGTGAAAAGTGAATTTGCCATATTTTGATAGGAGAGTGAAGTGGTTCGTATTATTGCTACCATCCAGTGTTCCGTAATTTCCTTGCTATGATGACATTCAGTGAAGGTGTAGAATTGAATGTGGGCTTATCCTGTGTGGATGCAGAGCATCTGGCTGATACAGACAAATGGTTTGCCACCAAAAAGAAAAACTTGGAACTGTAGATTTTTAATGCACAGATCTTGTGCTGTTGCAGTGTTAAGAAGTCCTTGTTGTTATGAATGTGCATTATGAGTATATTGTACACAGTCCTGGTATGCAAATGTGTAGCATTCAGAGAAGTGAAATAATTCTGTGTTATTATTATCTTTGTAAATTGCATCTTAAGAGTTTGCTGAGGACTTTATGACGGCAGTTTTCTATAGTCACAGCCATACAGCACAAAGTGTTTCTTTCATTATTAACAATAACTGAGCCAATGAAAATGCTTTTAAATATACACCAGACAAGCAGTTATCCAGCTCTTCCTTCTTACCATCCACAAACCATCTTTTAGCATCTTATAAACCAGCATGTAAAATAGCTTTGTAAACATCTGCTTTTCATTGTTAATTGTCAGGGAAAACTAGAGATTTAAATGCTTTTGTAGCATTCCTTAATCCTATCAGAAAGGATAGCTCTAGATGCTTCTCCTTTCTCGCTTCAGATAGCTTCTTTAGGCTGCTGTTTTTTTTTTTTTTTTTGCTTTTGCTTTCCTTTTTTTTTCCTTTCTTTGGTTTTGTTTTCAATATTGGTAGTTTCCATCTACTTACAAACAGCTTGTTTCATGTCTCAGTTTGAAAGGTCTTGCATATTCTACTCTATGTGACAACTCCGTAAATTTAAACAAAATATACTGTGTAATTATTGATTACTGTGTAAAACGTGTTGAAAACCTACATTCTGTCTCACTAGGATCTGCTCAGCATTTTCTTTCATGTATAAACTATTGGATTAGGTATTGTATCTTATATATGCAATACAAAACCAAGACTATATGCTGATGCTTTCCTGTAACAGTAAAAAAAATAAAAATTAAAAAAAAAATCATACCACTAAAACACAATTATTTTTAAAAAAAGCAAAACAACAACAACAACAAGAAAAACATTGCCTTTATTTTGGTTAGCTTTTCTGTTCTAATAATCAAGTCATTAATGTCAGTTGAGTGTGGCTGGCAATAATTTACTTAAGGTAGCATTCATAACACACAGTAGCTGCATTATACAGGAAAAATAAATCTATTCATGTTACATTTCCTACCTTTAAAGCTTTTTTTTTATTATTATTGTATTTGGTTCTGGATTTGTAACATTTGACTTTTTGCTTCTTACACACATAAAGGGACCATTCATGGTTTAAAACTATTTAATATTTTATATTTCTTAGAGGAATAAATCTTTTTTTTTTCTTTTTTTTTTTTTTTTTTTTTTTCCCGTATTTTGTCAAATCTGCTTCATTGGGAAATGATACTATTTTCAATTAGAGTTTGAATGTTTCTGTCTTTTCTCTTTTAACTTCAGTGGTTTTGAAGTGAAAGTCTACTAGTCTACATAACTAGTTTCTCCAGCTATGTGCTGAATTACAGTTTTAACAATATTTAGATTTCTTCCTGTTTTCTTAATTAAATAATAGTTTAAGGGAACTGTTACCTATTCATATTTTTATTCCTGCTTTTCAATATTTACTTCAATAACTTCTTAAAAAAAAATTGTTACACAGACCTCAGCATCACTGCATGTAAAAATAATTGAAATGACATATTGTTGCAGTTTCTATGACAACCATATCATGATGGCGATGCTCTCAAAAATTTATAAACTGCGATTTCAACTATGCTAATACTGAGCAGAGTTAACATTTATTTACTTAGTATTCTTGTTAGAATTAAGATTTCAATACTTCATTAAATAAAAGAGAGAACAAGGTGTATTTTGGTGTTTTTCGTTTGCTTGATGTTGGTGTTTTTGTAAAGGAGTTCTAATTTTTATAAGAACATTAAAAAAATCTAACTGTACTATATGCAATGCTGATGAAGAGCTTATGCAATCAGACAAAGAAAATATATATCATCAGTCACAAACTTTTAAATACGACATTCCAAAATAACTCCTACACCGTAATCCACCTTAATTGAGTTACAAATAGCCTTGTTTTGCTAGTGGATTATTTAAAGCCCATTTATTCCTATTTCTTTTGTCTTAGATGCTAAACCACAAATGTTTGTGACACGAGAGTACCGATTCACTTTCATAAATAAAGTCACAAGCATAAGAGTCTGTATGACCAGGCACAGAATTATAAACCGCCTTAAAATATCTGCGTAGATTACCACTTTATTTTATTGTAAATGTTAAAAAGCCTTTTGCCTGGTAGCTTGAATTATTTTTTCCGTATTAAATACATACCTTCAGTATAATCATGCTATTCCATCAATCCGCAGGCTTTTTAGAAGTTAGCTGATTTTAACAGTTTGACAGGGAACTCTATTACTCAGGCAACACTCACATTGGAATCAATGAGTGTTTTACTTGAGTAAAAAATTTAGGACCAATGTAAGATGCCTTATTCAAGTTACTTCATAATTACGGACTGCAGTGACTTAGAAAATAGTGAGTTTTGCTCTAAAAACATAGTTATTTTATTCAGTTTAACTTACACATATTAGAAAAGTGTGTTTTATATTCCAAATTCATGATTCTCGTGTAGAAGACTTATTGATCATTGATTCAAATAGGAAATAAAACACCTTTCTCTTCCAGTCATTTGTCTTAGGAAGATTCCAAAGCAGTCAAGTCACATTTACTTTACTTCAGTCTTAAATTTGATATTATGTTGGAAAAAAAAAATCATATAATTGAATGTTCACATATGTTGAGATCATGTCGCATTTTAGTTTTTAACAGTCTGAATAGTTTCAGCAGTTTCTGCCCAGTGGTCCCAGTTCAGTAAGCTATATTTAAACATGTTTTGAAAGATTTATACAGTGCTTTGCTTCTTAGTCAACTTTGGTGCGAGAAGTTACTACTGCCTATTTTGGTTAGAAAATGTGAGGTGTTCTTAGGGGTGATCAAAGAGAGGAGACAGCCATAGTGCCCATTCAGTGTGCCACCAGCTTCATAAGCGTTGTGCAAAATGGGACCGTCCAAAACAACTTCGTACCCCAAAATTTCTTTGTAGGCATCTTCACCTTTTTTCTTGATATTTTCTAAACCATTTCTCCATTTTGGCATGGTCATCTTGACCCTCATGACCAGAAGCATGCACTTCACATGCACAGCATTTGGGCTTGTGGGTGAAACAATTGACAATGCCACAGGCCTACAAGTTTAGGCTGGATTATCACAAAATCACAGGAACATCTTAAAACCGATGCAGTTTAGAAGTGCACGGCAGTAGTGATACAAAATACCAAATCATTGGCCTACCCTGAGCACTTTTATTTCTGTTCATGCGGCATACGTATGTGGCTTAGTGGCAGTGCATTTGTTTGTCATGTGGGCCAGTCCCCAGGTCAAAGACAGCTTTGTGTATTTATTCTGGCCTTTGGGGTTTTTTGGTTTTTACATAGTATCTTGTTTGTAACATGTTAGTTAGGTCAGGAACTTTAAAAATTGTGCTTTGTTGTTGGGATTTTTCTTTTTTTTGATGTACAAAACAAAAATAAACGGATAGGTACGGTGCTATACTATAGAATTGATACCTCTCCAGCTGAATTCCAGCAGGCACTGTCAGGATCGGACGTAGCCAGTAAGGAGAAGAAAAGCCCCGTGGTGCACTGATAACCCCTTACAGTAGCCCGCAGGGACTGCAATAATCACGGTGAGCCAAGGCTTCTCTGTGAATGAGATTCTAGGGAAAAATATTCAGCAGCCTGCACATTCGTATCGTGACCTACGATTTGCTCGGGGCTGTAATACAAAATAGGAGCAGCGTGGGCTGTAAGGGGTCTTGTAGCGTGCGTGCCCTCCCAGCTCCTCAAACGTGGGGGGCACGGAGGTGCCAGTATTTGTCTGTCTGTCCTTCCTCCTTCACAAAGCACAGCCCGTGAGCCTTGAGGCTGGGGGCTCTGGTCCAGCAGGGGCCCCCCAGGTGTGTGCTCGGGGCAGAGGTGCCTTGGTGTGAGTGCCGTGCTCGCTGCTCGTATCATCTGGGTGGCCCTGACTTGCTTCTGAAAGGGACTTTTGATGTGATCGTTCATCTTGAAGTGCTTTTTTATATGATAACAGCGTTCGGTGGTCATAATGGTGTACTGAGGTGGCAGTAGAAAAATCATCAAGGTGACAACTGGACAAGTCCTGCTGTTAGCTGAAACACCCAGACTGGGAAGAGCAAATGCTTTTCGGTGGAAGAAGCACCTTCCCCACACAGTTACCTGCACCACTGCTTCTCTTGCTTTACTCCATACCTGCACAGGGCCAGGTATGCAGTCCTCCTGTCATTCCTAACCACATCTGAATGTACCTGCCTCTTTTTTTTTTTCTTTTTTAACTTGTCAGCGTTCTCCAGATTCAGAGCAGCGCTTGGTTTGCCGCTGCAACTTGTGACCAGGAGTTGGGTGACGGGGCTGGGGCCGGGCCCCCCGCCGCGCTGGGGGGGCAGCAGCGTCCCCCTGCTGGCAGTGCCCCGGGAGGGTCCCTGCGGGCCCTCAGCCTTTTGGTGGCGGTGGGGACGGCATCACCGTGTCCTGCCGCTCAGCCGCCGCCACGGCTCCCGTGTGCCCGGAGCGTGCCTCAGCCCCCCTGCGCTGAGCCCTGCCACAGCGGGAGGCGCTGTCCGTGGGGCACAGCAGCCCCTTGTTTTTTACAAAAATCCCCCTTCTGTTGCAAAAAAAAGACTCAAACGTAGATGATAAACTTAGGCTCTGACCTGCGAGCACCCGGAGGGCTGGGGAAGCCCCGGCCCCGGGCGAAGCCCCGCAGCGCTCCCCGGCGCCGGGAGCCGCCCCGCACCAGCGGCCGGGGGTGGCGGGGGGCAGCGCGGGGGGACGCGGGGCGGCCGGCTCGGGAGAACTCCTCCTTCTCCTTCTCCTTCTCCTTCTCCTTCTCCTTCTCCTTCTCCTTCTCCTTCTCCTTCTCCTTCTCCTTCTCCTTCTCCTTCTCCTTCTCCTTCTCCTTCTCCTTCTCCTTCTCCTTCCATTCCGCCCCCTTCCTTCCCTCCCGCGGCCCCGCGCGTTGCCGGGCCCGGCGGCGCTCCCCCCGCGGAGCCGCCCGGCCGCCGGCAGCGGGCTGCGCGCTGACTTTCGCGCTGCCGCTGTTTGTTTTGCTTCGCCAAGTGCTAATCCGAGAGCTCCTTGGCAGGCGGCTGCTCTCGCTGCTGTATGTGCGCCGGCCTCACGGTGGCGTTTGAAGCACGTAAACAAAGCCCGAGCGAGCGGAGAGGCAAGCGTGTTTGCTAGTTTACCTTTATTAGAATAACAGTTCCGTTAATGTTTTGGAGAAATCAAACCTGCCCGTGCAAGCGGCTCAGGCGGCGGAGATGCGCTGCCCGGCGTCGGGGGAAGGTGCTCGCATCTTCCCGGCCGGCGCGGAGCCGCGCAGGGGTAGAGCGAGAGCGCGCCTCGTCCTGCCGGCAAGGTCTCACCTGGGGCTGTTTTTCTTCCCCTTCTCTCTCTCCTCCCCTAGCCCCCCAGGAGAAGTTTACAAAGAACGCGATTGAAAGTGCAAAGCAGCAGATGCCGACGTTAAACTCCGGCTTGATTTGAGTGTAACGATCTGAGGAGACGCAGCCCTGAGCCGCCGCCCTCATTAATCCCGAAGCATGCCCCTGGGAGCCGAGTTCCCCGGCGAGAATAAACCCAATATAGAGTCATCTTACCTCCGAGCCGGGAGCGCAGCGTTAGAGGTAGGAGAGGGCAGAGCGCGGCTCTCCGCCGGCCCAGCCCGGCCGCTCTGTGGCAGGGCTCCGGCAGCGCTGCCGCCTGCCCAGCTGGGATCCGCTCCCCAGCGTGCTCCCCCCGCCCCCCGGCAGGCAGTCCCCAAACTCAGCCCAGCGCGAATCCCGAAGTCGGGGGCAGCGTTTCGAGTCAATCCTCGCTGGTGCAAATCCCCCGTGGCTTCTCTCCGCCAGAGCGTGGAACAGACTTGCCGGTTAGCCTGAGTTTTTGTCAGGCTTTCTCGGCAATCTGGGAGCAGGTAAGGCGGCTGCTGGCTGCCAGCGATTCCCGCTGCACTTGCAGAGAGCAGCAGGAGCCGGTGGAAGTGGGAGTGTGGTCTGCTCTTCATTAGGGAGGGGGGAACGGACCCTGGAGGTGATGCGGTGAAACACTTCTACTTCCTTGCATTGTGTTTGTTACAGATCACGGGCGCTGTGCTTTTATAACATTCACTTCAAGCATTCTCAAAGCCAACCGGAATAAGTTCTGATCCTCCCCTTTAGTTTACATTGGGGTTGTCAAAGGATTAAATAAATGAAACTTTATTTGACCGTGGAGTTTACAGACCCTGGGATCCCTGCGCGCTCTGGCCTTATTCTAATTCTATAGCGGTAATTACCCTTCGTTTCTTTAAGTGCAATAGATTTATTGCCTTAGAGACTATGCACAGTTTGATTGAATTATTCATTTTTTTTTCTTTGGTGTAGACTGCATCTGGGGACTGATGTGACGTGTAGATTTTTTTTTTTTTTTCAGGAACAAAGGGAATGTGGAAATGAAAGAGAGAGGGAGAGAGAGGCTGGCAGATGTGATGAGATGCGGTGAAGGTGTATCCAGCTTGGCACTCCCACTCCTCTCTTCTCCTCTCATTGCAGCCCTGGGTGACTCTCAGGCTAACACAAACAGCTTTTCTTCCGCAGCCTGCCCTCTGTCACTGTAAGTACAACAGCCTTCTCTTATCAGCATGCAAATTCCAGCCACTCACTACCTTAGCCTGGTGTTTGCACTTTAGATTTACAGAGGGGACCTTTAAAATGAACTTTCCAAGACAGGAAGGGGTTTTCATATTAAACTTGCTTTTATTTTCTTTGTAAAAGTTTATGTGTTTTTTCCATTTTTCTCTCTTTTTTTTTTTTAATATATTTTTTTTATTTTTTTGGAACGGGGGAGGGGGGGACTGGGGAGGTTGTTGCTGCGGCTTTTTGCTTTACTGTCAAGATGATGCACAGTTTCAAATGAAATTAAAGTCTCCTTGATCCTGTTTCTGCCAGGACAATACACTGTGTTGGCAGATGACGCTCTAAAGAATTCAGAGGTTTTTGTTTTCAGTCAGATCTTTAGCTTTGGGCGTTACAAAATGCAAACGTCCCCTAAATTTTGAGGAGATCGCCAGAGGTTCTGGTTCTAGGGGAGCTCGCATCAGCTGATGGGGCTGCTTGTGAAAAAACGTGCAGTGATCTGCTTTTATCTTGTCTAGCAAAACTTTCTCCCAATCGGATGATGAGGCTTTAACTTCTTTTCCTTTAGCTTTCTCTCAGATGCTGTTGATTATTTTGCAAAAGTTTCTCTGAACATCTTTAACGTGCCTGTGAAAAGTCTTCATTGTCGGGGAGTGTCAGGAGAGGGAATTTTGAAACGTGCCTGTTAATTGCCCGGCATTAACTGGGGAGAGGGGGGAGTTTAGAATTGTGTGAATGACTTTTAAGGCGGAATTTCTTGCTCTTTGAATCAAAACTTCAGAGACTGTTCCACCAACTCTACAGGAGTTGTAGGTTTGTTCATCTGTTTAAAGACGGGCTGTGTAAAACTTAACGCACAGACAGGTTGCTTTGCTTGTTGAACATCGCTTTACTTTTGTGTATTTAATGAGAGAGACGGCGCAAAATGCGCTGACAGCTGCGACCAGGTAAGTGCCCCGACGTGAACTGAGAGGCTCCGATTCCTTCCCGCTGCGGGGACCCAGAGCAGCCCAGCAGCCCCCAACATCTGCCCGCGCTGGCTGCTCTGGCTGTCTTTACCCTTCCTGAAGAAAAAGCTAGAGAAGTAACTTAAAATGCAGTCTAGTCTCTAAGCGCATGGCAACGCTAGAAGTAAAAGCGTTTTCTTGTTTCTCTGCACGTGTGTACGTATCCGCACGGCGGATGTTCCCTTATGCAAACAAAGAGGGAAACGCAATTATTCCTGTGCAGCGCACATACACGCAGATTTGCATACAATGCCCACGGAGTCCTCGTTTTCTACCGCGGAGAAGTTGAAGCGCTCTGGCAGTGTGCGCTGCATCTGGAACTTAATTGATCACACAGGGGAAGCAACAAGCTAGAGAGTATTACTCGCGCTCCGCCTGGGAATGCGGGCGCATCCCTGCGCTGTCCTGCCCCAGCTGAGTGTCATTCCCTGCACGGGATTTTCGGGAGTGCAGAGGGATGCTCCTCTGATTTGGACCTAGGTGGGCGGTTAATTTTTTTCGGATGCCTTCATTATCTCTTGTCCCATTACCGCCTCGTACTTTATAAGTTGTTCGAAGGAGGAGGCTGCGTTTGAGGATGTAGGTGGTGGTTTTTTTTTTTTTTTTTTTTTTTTTTTCTTTGTTTTTCTTGAAAGAAAAACACTTCCAGCAATAAATTGGTGGGGTAGTGAACTCGGATAGGACGGGTCGTCCTTGTGTTCTGCTTACATCTGCTTCCTTGCAGAACTCATTTTTTTTGTGCGCCAAAGCCACTAGTTATGCGTAAAGTCAGGTTGTTTCCTTTACTTGCAGCAGGTCGAAATGTATTACAAGGAAAGTGTTACTGACCTATCGCAGGAATTCTTACAATTAAAGACTAAAAAGGACGTAGCGATATCTGGAAGGGAAGCTGCTTCCTGTTGTTAAATCCATACCTTAGATAACTGCAGCAAGATGAATAGTTTGAATTAGCTGAACGCAGGTGAATACACACTCAGCAGCTGCAGTCGAACAATTTACCCTGTCTCCGAATTACAGGTTTTTAGCATCTTTCATTAAAATTGAAAGAATGCATGGAAATTAGCTGCTATGCCCTCGGCCAGCTAATTTGACGGTAAAGCCTTCCTAGATAAATTTCAAGTTCTGTTTCAAGGTGTTTGTTGCTTGCCGGGTAGGACTCGATTGCTCCTGTTACCGCAGCGGAATCGCCACAAATACTTTATGAACTAGGTCCGTTATTCCACGGGGTTCTGACTTAAAACTTATTTTCCCTGGACTGGACTAGAGAGGGACGATGGTACGGCGGGTAGCAAGGTAGAGGCTGCAGCGTGCCCGACTCTCGTCGTGCTTTGAGTTTTACAGCTGGGGAACAAAATGAAACGGAGCCAGAGCAGATCAGTTCTGTGCCATCACGTTGCTGCTCGGTTTTCAGCACGTCCTTAGAAAGCAAGGTTCATTTGCGGGAGGGCTGAGCAGACCTCTGGCTCTAACCTATTCTGCACAGTTCTACTTGAGAGAGGAGGAAAGCGAAATGAGGCTTTCTCCTCGTCTTTTTGGCCTCTATAAGTTAGGAAGCTATTTTAAAATTAAAAAGTTTCTCTGTTACTAACTGTTCCAGGCGCCTTCTGGAAAATGGGGAGAAAGTGCCAAAAATACAGAGATGAATCAACAACTTCTCTCTCTCTCTCATTTTGTGGGCTTGAGGTTGCTTTCCGCACTCCCATCTTAACAACAGTTTAGCCTAGGTGTGAATAATATCAAAAGAGGGAGACGCTGGCTTTGCAGCGCTGTTTGCCCACCTGATCTGCGGGCCCCTGCCAGTTTGAAAGGCTCTTTTATGTTTACCTTTGGCATGTAAAAATACAGGGGAGAGACTTGCTGGGCTTTGCATTACTCCGTGCCTTCGGTTCATTCTCTCCTCAGAGTTTTCCCCGTCTTTCTCCCGGATTTCCCCCCCCCTCCCAATTAGCACTTCCAGAGGAGCGTGAGTTCCTAAATTGGCGTTCCCGTCCCTGTCTGTTGCCTTTAGCTAAGGGAGAGGGAGCGAGATGTGCGTGGTGCCGCTGCTGCAAGCTCGCCCAGCTGCGGCTCCGGCCGTGCCCGTGCCCGGCCCGGGGGTGCCCGTGCCCGGCTTCCCCCGCCCCGGGGCCGCCTCCCCGGAGGGAGCGGGCTTCTCCGTGCTCCCGTCCCGTGTGCTCCCGGAGCCAGCCCCCCCCCTCGGCTGGGCTTCACCCTCTGTTTCATCTGCTTTTTCCCCCGAGCGGGCTGCTCAGAGCCCCGCTCAGCAGCTGTCAGTCAGCGCTCCTCCAGCGCCTTCCTCCTGCGTCCCCGCCGGCCCAGCCCGCGTCCTGCGGACCGGCTCGCCCCCCCCCTCCTTCCCCCCCCCCCCCCCCCCGCCCCCTTCTTCTTCTTTTCTTTCTGTCCGGCCGTCTGTCCGTCCTCTCCTCCTCCGGGAGGCTCGGCGGCGTGTGCCCGCCTCCCTGCCCGGCCGGGGGGCGCCGGGGGGGCCGCGCCGGGAGCTCCGCGCCGCTCGCCCCGCGCAGCCCCGGCCCCGCAGCGGCTCCCCCGGCCCCCCCCGGCCGCCCTCCCCCTCTTCCGGCCCCCGGCCGCCTCCCCCTCCCCGCCCTTCGCCCCCCCTCCGCCCGGTAACTTTCTGGTACCTTTCCTCACCACTCCGGGCAATCAGTGGTCATTAGAGGAGAGAGGTTTTAGGTTTCATTTGTCTAATAGCAATGTGAGTGGTGATAGCTTCTCGGGGATGCGGCTGGCAGCCTGGGGTGATTTCACTTTCTGTTTTGTGCTCACTTTCTCTGCAGTTGTTGCTTTCCCCGCTCACTCGCTCTGAGCCTCCCTCTCCCTCTCTGCCTTTCCCTCTCTCTCTCTCTCTCTCTCCCTCTCTCTCTCTCTCTCTGTGTTGTCTCATCTTGCCTGTGCTGTCTGGGCGGGGGAGCCCTGCCTCCTTTTGCCTTCCTCAGATCAATGCCCTGGCCACTCACTTTCTGATGTTGCACGACGGGAAATGCTTTGAATACTTACGACATGGCCGCTCACATTGATTGCCAAGATTGACAGCAGTAACCATCGCCTTCACTTGTTTCAGGAGGAAAAAAAAATAATAATGAACCTGATTGTAACCAAATCTCCAGGCAACCCATCCGCAAACTTCTAACGATCGGGATCCTGCACATCCATGGCCCGGAGAAACACCAGCAGACTCTAGTTTTTTTCTTTTATTTTACCGAATTACTACCCATTTATTCTCCCTTCCCTCCCCCCTTTCACCTCCTGCTCTCTCTTTTTTTTTTTTTTTTTTTTTTTTTTAAATGAAAATTACCGAAGCGCGTTGCAAAAAAAAAAGGAGGCTCTCCCAGTGCTTTGTGCCACACTGGATCCCGAGGAGGTAACCAGGAAAAAAAAGCCCTATTGTGTTGTATACCTGTTGTTTGCTGTGGTGTGTAGTGCTGCGTTGCTTGGTGGCGGCGGTGGTGGTTTAATGGGTTTTCGCTGGATTTATGTCGCTTTGCAGGAGAGAATCCGGTTCCCCCTGCGCTGTCTTTAATGGGTTGTTAGTTGCAATTGAGTAAAGGAGCAGCGTCCGGAGGTAGATGTGTTGTTTAGCTTTTAACGTTGCTGAATTCACCCCTTCCCCCCGCCTCCCCCTGCACGATTATTTACTTTTGTACCACGAGGTTTTTTTTTTCCCCCTTTATTTTTTTTCTTTTTCCCCCTTAGGAAAAAGTAGTTGTAGTCTCGTCCCCGGGAGAGTTTCCGGGGCTGTTTGAATCCCGAGGTTTCAGAGACATTAAGGGACCTCAGTGCCTCGAAATCACAACACTTTCTCATCCTCCCCGAGTAGAGTTTATTTTAAAATGTAGTGACAGATCAGCGCTGTATTTTAAGATCACCCACGGCAGGCGAACACATGGTGCTGGGAAGATATTGTACGTAAGGAACTAACACGAGAGGGAGAAAGAGAGAGAGAGAGGAAAAATAAAATCCGAAATAAATCTTTGAGAGCAGAGCGCTGCTGTCACTGCTCCCAAGTGTTGGCGTGGGCTTCTCTTCGCGGCTCACCCCGAAAGACGCGGGCTGGAGCAAGGCGAAGGGAGCTTAGTGGTGCTTTTAAATTCTCCGTTAAGTTCGAGGTGGGTGACTGCTTTGAAGTTGGCCACAAATGAGTGCTGTGCGCGGAGCGGGGAACCCTACAAAGCTCCGGGACCCGCCGGCGGCGATGCCGGGTTCGGCCACAGCGGGGCACTGTCCCGAGGAGCTGCGCTTCTGCGGCGGCGCCTTATCTCTCCAAGCAGGGGGCTTGGATAAAGTTATACGGAAAACTTTAAAATTGATATCGCACCCGAATTCGTGATACACGAGGGAGGAGGGGGGGGGGCAGTCCATCATCTGCGAGCTCTGTCTGCACCCGGAGAAGGGGCGATGTGTGCCGCTTTGTGGCAACGTTCGGCTTGGGATTTCTTGCTGCCGTAGCTCTTTGCCGGAGGTCATGCAAATCGACCTTAAAAGAATGCATAAGCCATAAATTAAAATAAACCCTTAGCCAGAGGCTGATCCATAAGTAGACAATACCTAACCTGGACAAAACGGCTTCCTTTGCGAGCTGAAAAAAAGAATAGTGCCTAAACTAAATGCGAAGTAAGTTTCCAGGAAGTATTTCACTTATTATTATTACTCTTCTTCTTCTTCTTCTTTTAAAACGAAGCAGTGACAGTTGCGAGAGCACAGCGCAGCTGGTTGTAGACAGTGCTGTAGGATCCGAGGAAGGCAAGGTGTGTCTGGCGGAGAGCTTGCTCGTTTCCTGGCTTTCCCTGCCTCCGAAGCTGTTTGTTTTTTGATCGGGGATAAGCAGCCTCTTTAACCGTATAAGCAATGTAAGGTTTTATCTCGAATAACGCTCAAGAGTTTACGACCAGATCTGGCTTGCCTGCAAATGTCACATGCGCGCACACAAGCCGCGTCTGTGGCTAGGAGTCTCAGGGCTTGTTGTTTTTTCCCGCAGTTTTTGACAATTGTTCCATTCACGATCCTGAAAGGACTCATCAGTGGGAGCTAATGAGCGCGCCTCCGCGGCTCGCCCTGGCGCGGGAGGAGCGGGCACCGCTCGTGTAATGCATGCACGGGGGGACCGCCGGCGGCAGCCGGCCGGGGAAGGCAGAGGCGCGATGCGAGCAGGAGCAGGGAGCAGGAGCAGGTACCTCCCGGCGGCCGCTCGGCACCGGCTGCCCCTCTGCCCCCGGCTCCCGCTCCGCTGCCTCCCGGCGCTCCCCAGCAGCGCGCAGTTAACCCGCTTTGCAGCAGGGGCTGCGTGCTGCCGCAGAGCAGGGCCTTGAGGTCACTCGGAGGCACTGATCATATCGATTTGATTGCTGGCTTTGCTCTCGGCAGGCCGTTTCGCAGCGCGTTTTTTTTTTTTTTTCTTTTCTCTATTTTTTTTTTTTTTTTAAGGACGGGAAGGAGGGAAAGTGGCAACGTGAGGAGACAATTAGTGTTGTGTCTGAGGGTCGGGAGGTTGCGGGGAAAGCCAGCGTGTTGGGAGCCTGGGGACGACAGATTACTTCTGTCCTAGGGGTGTTTCCCAAAAACACAGCCGGCGAAACTTTCTGTGATAAAGTAATATATCTTCGCCTGCTGTTTGGAGATAAGGTATATGTTTATTAAGCTAATTTAAATAGCCTGCGGCACATGAGCGGCACTTTGTTCCTGCTGGTTTCTTTTTCCCTCATTTTAACACTTTTGGTGTTTCCATCCTCAGCACTGCTGCTGATCGTGAGGGCAAGAGAAGAGTTTCATCCAGTCCTCAATAGGATTTCAAGTCCAAAAATTAACGAATTTCCCTTTCTGTATTCGTGTAATGGAGTAATTTTGAAACCTGTTTTGAGACTTCTACTTGACTTGACTTGTTTTATTGACGTGCTTGTGCCCACTCATTTAATTAAGCCATTATACCATAAAGTAAATAATAAGAATGAATGTGAGATATGTGCGTGCAGTCTGCCATTATATACAAATATTTCCCTGGAAAAGACACTTTAAAAACTTTTTCAGCACACCGTGAGCTCTTTGGCAAAATCTCACCGCAGGTTTTTGCTCTGAGCCAGGATATTTCGCGTGTTTCTGTTCTCGCAGTGTTATACGCGCTCTCTACTCGGAATATAAACAGCGAGCGTACCTAGCTGCTCATTCTAGTAAAACTAAGAAATAATCTATTTATAGTGAGTACATTTAAAGGAAAATCATGAGGTCATTTGGAGTATGCTGCAGTTTGAAGTAGCTCGACACCTGGCACAAACCACATACGCGTTTTCTTCAGACTCTGCGCTCTCCATAACTTTTCCTTATAATACATTCTTGTGTTAAGTGAGAAAGGCTGTTTGTAAAACAATCCCCTGGCTGGTTCCAGTGTTGGGTGAAGCTGATCCTGTAATGGCATTTTGTTTTGAACAGTTGCTGTAGTTGAAGTTCCCTCATAAGGTAAGGTGGCACTGGGTCTGAAAGGAGGTCCAAATGCCACATTTATAATTAGACTGCCAATTCAGCACATTGTATCTATTGCTATACAGGGATATACTGCTGTGTCTGGTCTCTCAATAGACTGTATTCAGAATTAGCCAATTCAACCGCTTCAACTTCGGAGTCAAATTTAGAATAGGCAATGAGAGAAGGAAAGAAAGAAAACAATAATGCTTTCTTTTTTCCTCGGCTAGCTATTAAAAGCCAAAGAATATACGGAAACCGAAGCAGGCACACACAGCGCCCGGTCCCAAGCGCAGCCGGGCAGCCTCGCCTGCAGCCCGCTCCCAGGCGCGCTCCGCCGGGGGGAGGGGAGGGGAAGGGGAAGGGGAAGGGGAAGGGAAGCGAATGGAAAGGGAAGGGAAAGGGAAGGGGAAGGAGAGCCCCGGCCGCCGCCGCCGGGCCCCGGAGGCGCTCGGCCCTGCCCCGGCCGGCGGGAGGGGCCCGGCTGCCCCGCAGCAGCGCCCCGGCCCCCGGCGGCGCCCCCCGGGCTCCCGGAGCCCCGCGGGGGTTGGGGGGCCCGCGGCACCCCGCGGCTCCCCGCTGCTCCCAGGGCAGCCGGACTGCGGCTGCTGGCGGCTCCCCGCGCTGCCCCGGCTGTGCTGCGCCTGGCCCCTTGGCTCCTGTCATGCCTCTCGCTTCGCTCCCTGCGATCGCCCCGGCCTCCTCCCCCAGAACTTTAATTCATTCTGCGACGGGAGTGCGAGAGGCCCGCTGCTCTGCAAGCTCGCATCCTCTGCTAAACGCATTATTTTCTCTCTCCTCCTTCCAGTTCCACACCGCTTGGGTACTGCTGCGAGCCCTAGCTGGGCTGCCTCGAAGCTCGCTTCGTTCCCTGCTGTGTCGCAGGGTGCAAACTAGTGGCATGTCTACTGCACGTAGCGGGAGGGGAGCGAGACGGACGGCTGCCTCCCCCTCCTCCTCACTGCTTCTCTGCTCAACTTATGTAACGCTCCGCTTCTTTTTTTCCTGCTTCGCGTTTACACGCTGATGAAAGCGGGAAGAGGAACAGAGTGGAGCCCGTCTGTTTCCTTCGTTAGGTCATCAGTGCCTGACCTGTAGGAAATAGTAACTGATGTCCAAAGTTAGTTGCCTCGCCTGCACGTTGATTTTGTTCCCAAGCGGGCACTGCCAGTGCTTGTTCCCTAGCCGGTGGTTTTTAATACGTGGCCAACAATTGCTAGTGGTCACTTCCAGCTGAACTTCTTTTGCACAGTGGGGAAAAAATCCCTTCAGACATGTTTTTGCATCTTTGATCATATTTTTAGTCGAAAGTATCCGTGTATGTCTGCTGTTCTTAAAGGCCTTGAAATATCTCGTGGTAATAGAGGCCCGAGCTTGGCATGATGATAGCAAAAACAAATATTTTGTTCTCAGTGGGCATTAGAAAGTTTCTTTAGTCACGACCTTATGTCTGCTAAACGCTGTAATCACCTTGGGAGATATCACTTCAGGAAGCATATCCATTAATCTTTTACACTTGGTTTGATTTCCCCCTTAAAAGTGTATGGATCGCACTTAAAAGGCTTCAGCCTATTTATTTATTTATTTAATGGAACAAAAATTACTAAAGGAAGAGAAGCAGCGATGCTCTTTTCTCTATACCCCATACAATGGGGTGATGTATATTTCTCTTTCCATAGTGTGACTTGCAAGATCAGTGGGCTTGTTTGGCAGAGGTGGTGTGTAATGACTAACGTTTTAAAAGTTATGTAAATAGGGGTGTTTGTGTATATATAAGCTATGTCAACTGAAGTGATACAGCGACATATTTTTAAAACATTTCAGTTAATATAGTAAATCAAGGAGACAGGGCTTTGAAACATTTCTACATGATGAACCTGCGAGCGAAGTACCGCTGTATGATGTGTTCGGTAGTTCACATATAGCTTATTCGTCAAGTAGCAGCAAAACACAAAGGTGCATGTTTCCAGTTTTTGCCATAGTAAGCTGATTTCTATTTGTCTGTTTTCACTGCCTTTCTGTGTGTTTTTTATATATGCATTTTTATTTTTATTTTTTTTAATTTTTATTTTTTGCCTTAGGTAGAACAGCAAGGATGGGAACTTTAGGGGACTTCTTACCAAAACATAGAAACCTTTTATTTTCTATAAGCTATTCAAAAATTTTTAGATGCACAATTCTGTAGCAGTATTTGTTGATGTATCATTGCAAGGTGTGATACCATATTTTAAAAACAACAAAATACGTTAAGATCTTATCACTAGTAAGTCTGTGTACTAGGTTGGTGTGATGTCTATGTGAAATACGTGTATATTTATTTAGATATAGTTCTGTGCTGAAGGGAGAGAGCTGATAGACGGATTTGCTGGAAAGCGGCCGATTTCTACAGTGATAAAACTGGATAATTACATGTTCCCAAAGCCTATTCAGCACAGAAGTAGGTGTTCTTTTAAAACATTATTCTGTGGCAACAACAAATATTTGTGACATCATTGTAAGAGATTTCCTGCCAATTTTTAGTTTACTGTCTTTCAGAAAGTCTAGAGTTCTTTGGCACTGGTGAAACTGCTGCACATACCCATCGTATATTCAAGTATTCAGTGAAGTTTTAAATAATTCTCTTTCAATTAGTACAACAGGAACCTGAAAAATGGATTTTCTCTTAAAGAAACAAGAATCAGTACATAGACATTTCTTTCCTCCTCTTGTATATTTTAAAATCCTCGTATCAGTTTTATGTTTACTGTTTTGTCTCCTTAAATTAAGAAGAAAGAAAACAGTAGCATGAGTTTGAAAATCATTGCTTGGAAATTATTTTAATCAAATATTTCTTGAGCTTTGTGAATTGGAAGAGTAATATAAAATTAGATGCATTGGTAAACTAGGTTAATCGGAGTCATCCATTTGTAGTGGAGAATAAATATCAATCAATTGATTTTTTTTTCTTTTTCTTTTTTTTTTGAAGTCGGGTGAAACATTCCATCAAGTTAATGTGTTTAAGAGTATCATATCAGGCACAGACAGGTACTAGAAGTGATAAAAAACAGATAACTTGCAACAAAATGATTTACAGATGGGTCATTATCTTCTGTACAGAGGTTACGCAGATCATATTCTTTATAAAAAGAGAATGTAATTCTGTAGAGCTAGGAGAATTATCTAAATAGGTCTGAATATTTAATGTTTTCTGAGCAACTGGTAGAATTTGTCAAAGCAAAAATTTTCAGCCTTCTTGCAGACAGCATATTAATATGAAATACGGAGAAGTACTGCTTTTGTATTTTAAATATTCCTTATGTGTTTATTTTACCTATTTGATAAAGTAAAGCTTGGGAAACATTTTGCTTCTTTCCATGTGAACCTCACTGCATACCTTTAAAATATACAGAAACATGTTATGTCCAAATTAAAACAAAAAGGCTGGAAAGTTGCATATTAGGGATTTATTAGATTTTAGGGCCTATTTCATACACTGAATGCCCAAGCTGCATTTTTTCTATAGGCAGTAAGATGGGAAGTCATTTAAATATCGTCTTCTTTTTTTTCTTGAGCGAGACAGAAAGGTGTAGTCAAT